TCATAGGAGCAGAAAGGCTGACGTTTCGGGCCTAGACCCTTCATCCCCGAAACGTCAGTCTTTCTGCTCCTATGATGCTGCTTGGCCTGCTGTGTTCATCCAGCTCTGCACCTTGTTGTCTCGGATTCTCCAGCATCTGCAGTTCCTACTATCTCTTATAGATTTACCTGTTCCTTTATATTCACCGTGCAGGAACCACTGACATAATTTCCAGTTACATTGTAAGTGTTTTGGATAGTCTGTTGAGTCGCGACGCTGTTTGCAGCTGTAAAATCAAAGAAATTAACTTTATCCCAAGAACCGGAAGACAGTCAAGTTAGGATTTGCACATCTGACTTATTTTGATTCATCCGGAATAATCCTATGCTCAGCCTTCCACTCCTGCCCTATTAAGCCACACACCCATTACTTCAAACACACCCACCATCCTCTGAGCAAACTGCACAGGCTGCCAGTATCTTGCAATACTTGCCATTATTTATACTTTGATGCCTCAACCTTAAACAGATTATCTGGGCACTTAGAAAAAAAAATTGGCATGGGGAAAGAGGGGGTGTGGGAAACAAATTGGGTAGTTCCTCCAATGAACTGGTACAGAATGGCTTTCTTTTGCGCAGTGTGATTATCTGCGTTTTTTGCTATTTGTGCAAACTTACAGTATGCAGTTTGGCCAGTGCAATTTCCTACATTACAACACTGACTACATTTTCAAAGTATTTCAATTGTTACAAAGGCTTCTAAGACATCCTGAGATCATCAAGACTGTAAAACGTGGCAAAACAATGTGCAGAGAGGTAAAACAGACTGAGTGTATTTCGCAGCATTTCTTAAGAGCCCTGGAAGAATATCACTAACCTTCAGTTGTCCCATTGGAATCCCATGATCTTTTACTTGTACAGAACAAAAGATCAGTCCGGAAATTTTCGCCACAGTTCTCACATGTCTTTACCTTCTCCTCCAAGATCTGCTCACTGTTAACAGCAACAAAGTGCATTCATATGGTGCTTTTAAAGTAGTAACTTATCCAATGATGTGTCACAGTTGCCCTAACACACAAAATCTGATACTGTTGTGAAATGGGATTAGGACCCTGAAGTAGCCTTGCAATGATGTCATAGTTTGGGCAGACTCAGAACACGCTAGACTTTAGAGAGACTAGAAGCAACATTCTGCAAGACACACTAGAATGAAGCTGTCTAGAAGAAATATGAAGATCACATGGACATGAGCACAAAGAAAATGAATTATTCATTTCCTAATGTAACTATAAGTCAAAGCCTGGTACTTCTAAAATGACCATATATTATCAGTATTCAGTATTAGTGTATAATTAAGTGTTATTTCAAAATCTAAGTCTAAAAACAGTCCTTGACTTTGCCTTCCCCTTGACCAGTCTGTAAAGAATCTAAACTCATACCATGGTATCAAACCACACAGTAACAGAGACACAGTGCCTCATGGGGAGATGGTAGATCAAATGGACAAAAGAGGAGGTTTCTAAGGGGTACATTTAAGGGAGAGAGAGAGAGAGAGACAGAAATTGGGAGATGTGTAAGAGATCAGAACTGGAAGAGCTCAGAGACCTTGAAAAGCTTTGGTAACACAGGATATTAGAGTTAGAGATGAGAGGGTTGAAGCCGTAGAAGGGTTTGAAAAGAAGTTTGAAACTTTTAAAATTAGGTCCTGATTGACCAGGAGCCAATATAGGTTGGTGAGTACAGGATGATAGGGAAATGAGACTTGGTGTGAGATAACAGATGGGCAGCAGAATTTTGGGATGACCTCAAGTTTACGGAAGGTGAACCAGTCCAGAGTCCAGTGAAATGGTCAAGTTTGTAAGTAACAAAAACCTTTATAAGAGCTGCAGCAACAGATGAGCTAATGCAGATGGGAATCAGGTAATGGTACAAAGGTGGAAAGAGATAGTCTTTCTGATGGTACAAACATGTGATCAGAAGTTCATACCATGGTCAAATACAGAGATTATGAACAGTCCTGTTCAGCCTCAGAGATTGCCAGAGAAGGGCGGGGCATTAATAATCAAGGGAATTATATGCTTATTTATCAAATGCAAACACTTAGCTTCAGGTGTTCTTTACAATCAAACCCTCAGCAAGATGGGAGGATGGGATCGAAGTCACAATCTGCAGCCGCTCGCAACAATGTAATATTTATTCCACAGAAAGAGGCCGTTAATCCCATTGTGTCTGCACTTTCACAGGGAGGGAAATACTTTTTAACAGGAACTGGCCTTACAATGAAATATGATAACATGACAAAATAAAACAGAATATTACCCCTTGAATGCCCAGTTTGAAACCAGACGTCATGTAAAGTCGACCTGTTCACCACTTCCTTTTTGTTCTGTTAGCAATGACACAAATATGATGTGCTGAATGGCAGCCACCTGAGCTCCAACCTATGTATATCTTTAGAAATATTTATCATCAAAATTCCAATCATCTTCTGTAGAAAAATAACAGTTTTATTTCCTTTTAAACAGAGCCCCTTGCTGCATTGGGTTATGCTGGTGTGCACTTTCACAGTCTAATCCTCTCCACAGCTACATTCTAATGACCACAGTTAGTGTGCAAATCTAGAGTGGGCATGTTGGCAATGATTTTGCCCAAGCAACCGCTTTCATAATTGGACATCAGCACATTTGGATCTCCTACAACAGGCATCATGAATTTGAGTTGACTGTTTCCCTCGACTGCTCAAAGCCTGTCTGACATGTCCAAGGTACAATTCAGTCATGCAATAGAATACTCTCCCCTTGCCCGGATGAATGCAGCTTCAACAAAGCCCAAGAAGCTTAATACCATTCAGAAAAGCCAGTTTGATTGGCATTTTATCTGTCACTATAAACTTTCACTCCTTCCACCAATAATACCCAGTGGCACCTACAAGATGCACTGCAGTAAATCACTGTGGTTCTTTCTGCAGCACTTTCCAAACTTGCAATAGACATATTGGAATGCCCTGATTTGGAAATATATCACAATTCCTTCATCCTTAGTTATCCAGGAGCTCCCTCCATAACAACATTTTGGATGTAATTCTACAACAGAGGCTGCAACAGTTCAAGAAGGCAGTTCACTACCATATTCTTAAAATTGGTTAGGATTGGTTGATAAATGTTGGCCTTGACTGTGAGTACCTATTACTCCCCATCACAAAATATATTGTTAAAAATGATAAAGCCGTGATGTCTGAGTTACAACTTACAGAACAAGTTTACTAGAAGCTTAGTCTGTCCATATATAATAATTAAAACATCAAATGTCAACAACACTCAGCAGGTCCGGCAATATTTGGAGAGGCAACAGGCTGGTCAACATTTTGAACTCCTCAGTTTACATGGGAAAATAAAGATGAGTAGTAATCAAATAGATTAGAATAAAGGAAGGGTGGGGGGTGGGGTGAGATGTGAAAATGAGAGAGAATGTCAGAAAGAGAAAAGGGTCTAATCCAGATAGCCCCTCATGACTGCTCCACCATCTGAATATGCACTTTAACTCCATTTGTTCACCACTATCCTTAATCCATATTTCCTGAGAGACCAACAATCTGTCTATCTCACCCTTAAATATACTCAACAATGGAGCATCCACATCTTTCGGGGAAGAGATCTCCAAAGATTCACACCACTTTGAGTGAAAATATTTCTTCTTATCCCAGTCCTAAAAGATTAGGCACTTATCCTGTGATTGTACCCCAGGCAAGGGAACAACCTCTGTGTCTAACCTGTCAAAACCCATTATACTTCTGCATCTTTCTATTAAATAGCCTCTCATTCATCTGAATTCCAAAGTATATAGATCCAGTTTACTCAATCTTCCACGTGAGGACAACCCACCTATCCCATGGACCAACCTCATGAACATTTGCTGTACCACTTTCGATGAAAGAATGTCTTTCCTTAAATATGGAAACCAAAACTACATATTGTCCTCGAGGTGTGGGCTCACCAAAGCCCTGAATAACTGCAGTGAGATTCCTTTATTCTGGTAGTCCCACTTCAATAAAGGTCAACATGCCATTCGCCTTCCTAATTGTTTACTATACCCTATTCTAGCTTCCTTTGCTCCTGTATGTGCACAGCCAGGTCTCTCAGATCTTAAACATTTACAACTGCCATGCCTTTAAAAAAATATCTACTTCTCTATTCTTCTTACTAAAGTGAATTAGCTCACATATCCCACATTGTACTCCATTGTTGTCCACTCACTTAACCAGTCCATATCTATGTGCAGCCTCTTTGTCCTCTAACAGATTACAGTCCCACCTACCTGCATCATCAATAAACGTGAATATATTACTCTCAGTTTCTTTGTCTAAGTCATTAATATAAATGGTGAATGGCAGAGGTACTGATCCTTACTGCACCCCATTGTTACAGTTTGCCAACTCACATTCTTTGCTTAATGTCCATTTATCGATCCTCTTTCTATATCCTTCTAATTCCACAAGATCTTATCCTGTTTGTTTTGTCTGACGCCTTCTCGCATGCTTTTTGCAGCCAGATCTGGTAAGGACAGCAGGTTTTTCATCCCACTAAAGGACATTAGTGAACCAGCTAGGTTTTTATTACAATCCAGTGACTTTATGGTCACTATTACTGATACCAGATTTTTAATTCTAGATTTAATTAATTACTTTTAAATTGCCCCAGCTACTGGGTAGGAATTGAACCCTTGCTTCCAGATTATTACTAGAGTTTCTGGATTACTAGTCCAGTAGCGTAATCATTATTCTACCATCACAAGGACAGAGGAGCTGTGCTTTGTGCTTGTGATAAGCTTCAAAGGAACAATGCAGGATACCAAAGAAAACAAGATCAGTGCAGGCAGCTTAAGATCTAAATGAAGAAAGCTATGCAGAATTCCTTGGATAGCCCAGGAACACCCATAAATGCTTGCAATGTTCAGCTATAATATCATAAGTAGATCTATGAAACACTGAATTCAAGATTAGAGTCTCAAATTAAGTTGTAGGCTTCCCTTGCTGAAAATGGATCCCAGTTCTGCTCTCCTAATTTTTGAGAAATTCTCGCTTAGAATTTAGGAAATAGAGGATTGAACATATACCACAACTGGCCCTGGACCAAGTCAGTATAAAGGCTTAGCTTAACTTTCATTGCTATTGTATTCTCTGTCTCCAGAGATCTGAGGTCATTTTTTTTGCTGTAGAAGTAACAGCAAATACTGCACTGGGAAAGCCCTACAGCTATCCTGTGCAATCCCCATGCCTGGGTAATATCCTATTTTGTGTCAAACCAACCTTGCATTTCTCCCAGCTGCAACTCTCTCTTGTTCGCGGTTCTGCAGCCTTCACTGTCACTTTGAGCCATTCAATGTTACAATCTCCACCACATTCTCCCACCTGATAAAACACTTTAAGGACCAACTTACCAACCACTGAGAGCAACCCATCTAAAGTTTTCAGGTGAGCAGATGATCTGAGATGAAAACTTACATGTCTCTGCCTTTCTCATCCAAGTCTGGCCAGTCAAAGTAATGCCCACAGGAAGGGTTTCTGCAGGGTGTTTTCAATGAGTAATGGAGACCTGGCCACTCTTCTAACACTTTCTTCACTTTCTCAATGGCCGTCATAATCAGGCTCCATCGTCCTTCAAAACCTGCAACATGAAGATATGGAAAAGAAGGTGAGTTCTAACAGCAGGCCATCGACCTGAAACGTTAACTCTTCCAGAGACCCTGCAGACCCCCTGAGGGATTTCCAGCGTTTTCTGTTTTTATTTCAGATTTCCGACAACTGCAGTATTTTGGTTTTGTAAGAGCTCGTCAGTGCTTGAAAATCAACTCATCTCTATTGCTGCCCATCAATTTCTGTGTCTTTGGAGAGACAGTCCCCACATCTATCGCTTCGTCTGTCTTCCTGTTTCTCTCACTCACTCACTCTCTCTCTCTGTTTCTCTAAATCTGTCTTCTCTGTCTCTGTCATTTTCAGTACACCTTTCTTTCTCAATTGTTCCATCTCCCTCTCTCTGTGTCTCTATCTCTCTTAAGAGACATAAATTGTCTTGTTTCAGTTTCTCTGTGTGTCCCTCGATTTCTGGTCTGTCTTTCTCAGCCTTTCTGTCACTCTGTATATCAGATTGTAACCCTCTTGTTCTTTCTCTCTCTCTTCCTCTCTGTCTGTGACTGACTCACGCTCTGTGTTTCCACTTCTGTCTCTGATTGTGAAAATAGGAATGGGTTGAGACCATTTAGTCCCTGCATCCTGTTCGACCATTCAATGGGATTACAATCAACCTGCAAACTAACTTCATGTACCTATAATTGCTCCATATCACTTAATACATTTGGCTAATAAAAATCGATCAATCTCAAACTTAAAATATACAATTGATTTCGCATCAACTGACTTTTAGAGAAGAGATCCAAACTTCTACCACCCTTTGTGTGTGAATGTGTTTCCCAATTTCCTTGATGAAAGTTTTGGCTCTAACTTTTAGACTATGCCCCCTAGTGTTGGGCTCCCAAACCACCACCCAAATTATTCCTCTTCTGTTTATGTTCCTCTTAACACTTTGAAAGTTTTGATCAAATTCACCCTTCAAACTTCAGAAATGTGGTGAATACAACCACAGTTGCGTTACCTTGCCATGTCGTTTAGCATCTCGTCTTTTGGGAGAAAAGCAGACAGAGACAGACCTACAGGAGATACTTCGTGAGAGGTAGGATAAACACAGCTCAGGAAGTGCGGCCTACATTACTTCCCCTCAAAGACAGCAGTGAGCAGAGACAGACCTGCAGGAGATACACAGCAAGGATAAGGATAAATATAGCCCAGGGAAGGTGGCCTGCACCAGGCCTTTGAGGAGAGCAGTTGAAAGAGGTGAACCTGGAGGACTTAACACAGAGTTGGGAGGAGGCTAAATACGCTGGGTTTGAAAAACAAAATCAAACAGGAAATCACAAGAAAGTGCGGGCTGATTGGCTGATAAGTAACTGCTGTTAGGGACGGTGATGAAATTGAGAAAAATGTTATTTTTTAAGTTGGTTAATGGTAGTGAGAAGAGACATTTGTTTACTTATTAATTAATTGCTAATTGCTGAATTAAGACACAATAAACATGGCCGGGCAGGTGACGTGCTGCAACTGCAGAATGTGGGTCCTCCTGAACGCCAATGTGGTCCAAGTCAAACAGACCTACAGCAGGTATTTGCAGCTCAAGCAGCTTCCGCTCAGAGGTTATGAGCTGGACTCTTAACTACAGACACCTCAACATATCAGGGAGGGGGTATGTTACCTGGACACTTTATTGCAGGACGTGGTTATACCCCCTTCGGCTACAGTCTTCTGATTTGGTCACTGGTCACAGAAAGGAAATTGTGACTGTGACTGACACAAATTAATGGATTCTGAGGACAGTGATGCAAAAGCTTTAATTTTTGCAATTGTCCAATAGGTTTGAGGTTCTTTCAGCTTGTTTGGATGAGACTGAGGGCTGCAGGATGTATGAACTACCCTGACCATTGTACATGAAGCCAATTAAATGGGAGAGGCAACAGGAAATGTTACAACTGTAGGCGACAGAATAGTGAGGGGGAATTGACACAGTTCTCTGCAGCAAAGAGTGACAGTCCAGAAGGTCTACTGCCTGGCTAGTGCTAGGGTTTGGGAGGTCTGCTCAGGGCTGGAGAGAAATTTGCAGTGAGAGGGGGAGGATCCAGTCATCAAGGTCCATTTAGGTGCCAATAACATAGGCAAGGCAAGGAAAGAATGTTTGCACAGTCATTAAAAGGAGGTAGACATCAAGTTACGAATAAGAACATGCAAATTAATAATTTCTGGATTATTACTTAAGCCATGTACAAATTGACTTCGGGAAAATCAGATAATAGAAATAAATGCATGCTGAAAAATTGGTGCGGTAGAGAAATGGCTTCCAGTTCATGTGTCCGTGGCATGAGGACTGAGGAAAGTAGGGGCTATACTTTTGGGATGGTCTATACCTGAATGGTACTGAGATCAGCGATCCAGTGAGTCACATAACTAGGGAAGTAGAGAGGGTGTTAAAACAAATACTGGAGACAAGGGATAAAATTTGGGAAGATTTGATAAATCAAACAATGGAGGCAAGGCATGAGAGAATCGTGTTAATATAAACAAGCTGTGACAGGAAGGAATAGAAAATACAACACTGAGAATAAATTAGCAGAGGAGGCTAGAAGTTACAAAAACAAATAATGTCAAAACTAAAGGCTCTGTATCTGTATGCAAGTAACATTTGAAACAAACCAGATAATATGATGGCGCAAATGGAAATAAATAATTAAAACCTGATAGTCATTACAGATGCATAGCTTCAGGATAAAAATTGAATATGTTATATATATTTATAAATATATAAACTTAAATATAGAAAGATGCATGAGGTTGAGTAAAGAAAATAAGCTAGGAAAAGAAGCTAAGAAAGGGGTGGTTCCGTTAATTAATTATAGTATTAACACAAAAGAGAGCATGACCTAAGTCAGGAAAGCAAGATGTTGATTGGGTAAAGATGAGAAATGCTAATATCATAAAGTCTTTTGGTGGGACTGATGTACAGGCCTATACGTATTATACGTTAGAATGTAAAGGAAACAATAATTGGGAGCTAGTCAGAAAGGTGCAGCAATTATCATGAGCGGTTTGAATCTACATATACACTAGTAAAAAGAGATGGACAAAGATAGCCTAGATGAGGGGCTCATAGAATGTTAACAGAATAGATTCTTAGAAGGGCACATTATACAGTCAACCAGAGAGTATTAGAATTAGAATTCCTACAGTGTGGAAACAGGCCCTTCGGCCCAACAAGTCCACACCGAACCTCAGAGTATCCCACCCAGATCCATTCCCCTATGACCCACCTAATATACACCCTCTACCTCCCTGAGCACTACGGGCAATTTAGCATGGCCAATCCACCTAACCTGCACATCTTTGGACTGTGGGAGGAAACCGGAGCACCCGGAGGAAACCCACGCAGACACGGGGAGAACGTGCAAACTCCACACAGATAGTCACCCAAGGCTGGGATTGAACCCAGGTCCCTAGCACCGTGAGGCAGCAGTGCTAACCACTGTGCCACCGTGTCACCTGGGCCTGGTATTGTGCAGTGAGAAATGATTAATTAATGGTGTCAAGGCAAAGGTGCCAGACATAGCATGATTGAATTTTTTTTCCAGTTTGAAGGAGAGAAAAGTGGGTTCAAGGTTAATATGTTAATTTTTAAAACGGCAGTTATGATTGCATGGAAGTGAGCTTGCTAAAGTCAGCTGGCAAATCAGATGAAGGGATAGGTCAATAGATGTGCAGTGGCAGACATTTAAGGGATTATTTCAGCATGAACGCAATAGATACACAATGATGAGAAAGAAACATATCCCTAGGGAGGACCAACCAGCTGTGCTTCACTAAAAAAAACTCAAAGAAAAAACATGTAGTTGCACAAAGATTGAACAAAATATATTTTAAAAAAGCAAAAACGACTACAACGTTAAAAAGGAGGGAAAACTAGAGTACAAGAGAAAACTAACTTGAAATTTAACAACAGATTGTAAAGGTTTCTATAGATTTTTCTTCTTAAAAAGTAAGCATTGGTCCTATCGAAAGTGAGTGATAGGAATTAAAATGGAAAATAGGGAGATGGCAGGTGAAGTGGACAGGTATTTTGCATCAGTCTTCACGACACAGGGTATAAATAATATCTTAGAAATAGCTGTAAGACAGGAAATGAGAGGGGAGTAGGGACAAAATAAAATTATAATCACTAGAGAAGTAGAATTGAACAAATTCTTGCATCTGCAATCTGACAAATCCTTAAATCCTGAAGGATTTCATTTTAGTGCTTTAAATGAAGTAGTTAGTGAGGTGATACAATTTTACAAAATTCCACAGATTTTGGGAAGGTTCCATCAAATTAGAAAATAGCTGACATAACTCCTTTGTTCAAAGAGGGAGAGACAAAAAACTGGAAACTACACACCAATTAGCTTAACATCTGTCATAAGGAAAATGTTAGAAGCTGCTATTAAAGATCTTATAATAGGGCATTTAGAAAAGTTCAAAGTGATTAGGCAGAGTCAACATTGTTTTATGAAAAGAAAATCTTTTTTTTATCAGTTCATTTGAGTTCTTTAAGGACATATCATGTGCAATGGAGAAAGGGGAACTGATGGAAATTCATTGATTTCCTACAATGTGGAAGCAGGCCATTCGGCCTATCAAGTCCATACCGACCCTCTGAAGAGCATCCCACCCAGACCCAACCCCCTAACCCTATCCCTGTAACCGTGCATTTCCCATGTCTAATATACCTAGTCTGCACATCCCTGGACACTATGGGCATTTTAGCATGGCCAATGTACTTAGATTTCCAGAAAAGATTTCATAAAGGGCTACATCAAAGTCTATTGTAGAAAATAAAAACTTATGGTGTAGAGCTTAACATATTCACATAGATGGACGATTTGCCAAAAAGTAGAAAACAGAGATTAGGAATAAACTGTCATTTACTGGCAGGCAAGATGTAAAGAGTGTTGTGTCCTAGGTATCAGTGCTGGGCTCTCAATCTTTACAATTTACAGAAATGAATCGGATGAAGGGATGGAACTTGTGCTTTCTAAATTTGCTGATGACACAAAGGTAGGTAGAAAAGTAAGTTGTGAATGTGCCTTAAAAAGGCTACAAATGCTATTGGTAGTTTACCTGAGTGGGTAAAGATCTGTCCAGTGGACAATGTAGGAAAAAGTGAAATTGTCTATTTTGTTTGGAAGAATAAAAAAGAAACATACCATCGAGATGGTGACAGATTGCAGAGTTCTGAGATTCAGAGGGATTTTGAGTGCCCTGGCACAGGAGTCACAAAAGATTAGTACGCAGGTACAGCAAATACTTAGAAAATTTTTAGTGAGTTATCATTTATCATCAGGAGAATTGAATACAAAAGTATGGAGGCTATGCTTCATGGAAACCACAGCTGGAGTACTGTGTCCAGTATTGATATCCTTATTTAGGAAAGGGTGAGGGTGTAAATGTGTTGCAAGCAATTCAAAGAGGGTTTACTCAATTAACACCTGGACTGGGCAGGTTGTCTTATGAGGAAAAGTTGCACAGTCTAGGCTTTTATCCACTGCAGGTTAGAGGATTAAGAGGCAGCCTGACTGAAATATATCGTACCCTTCAGAGCCTTGACAGGTGGATGTGGAAAGGATGTTTACTATTATAGGTGAATCTAGAATTTGGAGCCATTGGCTTTTTGGAAAAAAGGTCATCAATTCAAGGCAGAGTTGAAAAGGTTTTTTCTCACAGAGTTGAGAGTTTGAAAGCCTTGTCCTCAAAAGACAGTTAAACAAAGTCTTTTGAGTACTTTTAAGGTAGAGAAAGATAGATTCTTAATAAATAAGAGGATGAAAGGTTTTCATAGAAACCCTACAGTGTGGAAACAGGCCATTCAGCCCAACAGGTCCACACAAACTCTCCAAACAGCATCCCATCCAGACTCAACCTCCCTACCCAATAACCCTACATTTCCCATGGCTAATCCACCTAACCTGTACTTCTTTGGACTGTGGGAGGAAATCGGAGCTCCCGAAGGAAACCCACACAGACATGGGGAGGACGTGCAAACTCCACCCAAGGCCAGAATTGAATCCAGGTCTCTGGCGCTGTGAGGCAGCAATGCTAAGCACTAAGCTACCATGTTAGCTGGTAATAGACTGGAATGTGAAGTAATCGGATCAACCATTATCCAATTTATTGGTACAGCAGGCTCTAGGCCCCTGAGTGGCCTTCTCCTGCTCCTAATTCATATGTTCATAACCTTGGAGCCCAACAATTTCTGTCCAAGGTCAATACATCCTTCTAACATGTGGTGCCCAGAGCTGCTAACAGTGATCTGGATGAAGTCTAATCAGGGTTCCTATCGCTGTAACATGACTCACTCGTATTCCAAGGCTCTAGATATAAAGACCAGCATAGCCCATCAGAATTTTGATTATTTTTGGTACCTGTTCATAATTCTTTTATGACCTATGTACCTAAATCCCAAATTTCATTGAGCCTCCACTGGTTCTACTTTTGCATCATTAATAAAGCACTCCATTCTTTCCTTTTTAGCTCCAAATATGGATGACCTTACATTTATTTACATTGAAATCCATTTGCCATAATTTTACACATTTATCAATATCACTTTGTAATTCTACACTTTCATCTACAGTGCTTACAATATTGCTTAAGATTCTGTCGTCAGCAAATGTAGATTATTGTTATCCCTTCATCTAAGTCATTAATGAGTATGGTGAGTAATTGATGTTGAGTTTGGTCTCACAGCTAGAATACAATGTATCTGTAAAAGACATGTTCATCATATCATCACTGTGTCATGGCATGTGACCTGATGATATCAACGTCTCAGACTCTACCTTACTGTGACTGCTTACATGACACACTGTGGAAGGTGTTCTATAGTTTGTAAACCCAGATAGACACGATAATGCCCATTATTATAATCATCGCTCCTCACATCATGCCAATTAGAGTGATTACAATCAGACCTGATCTCTGTCTCCTGCTACCCTGCCAATTTCCTAACCTGGGTGAAACAATGTGTCTTCACTCCCATGGACTACATGTAGCTAATAGTTTCTCACGAAGATTGTATCAAATGAAGGCAAATGAGATTAAGAGACAGATTAGCCATGATCTAACTGAATGGTGGAAGAGCTTAAGAGGAAAAATGGCTTCCTCCATGTGTAAACTAGGGAGCAAATGAGAGGATGCTTCATGACACAGACACATGTTGACATTCAAACTGTGAATATACAATGTGTAATATCTCTAGAAGTCACTGTCACTCAGAAACCTGTTTGCAGTGAGTGATTTTGGAAACAATGATCTGACACTGTGCTGTGGGAACTGCTCTCTGAGACTGGGGCTAAGCTGAAGAGTGAGAAAACTACACACAGCAACTGTTCGAGACATTGCTGACACTGAGCAGAAAAGAAGTATTTGCGTGTTTTATTTGTGGAATGTGCATTTTTTCCTGTTAGGACAGTTAAAAAAATCTGACAAGCAAATTCGAAATCAGAAAAGGAACTTTCTGACTGCCAGATGTTCTGGAGTCAAAAGGGAGATGTGACTTCAAGTAGATTTTCTCCCTAACATGTTCTTTGCTGTTCCAGGACAAGGCCCAGGAATAATTCACATTCTGTACAAGGAGGGAGTTCACTATCCCTACTGCTGTAATGACAAACTCTTTAGTACCTAGTGATAACTGATACAAAGAGACACAGATACAACAACAAAATGCAATTATGTAGAACCTTTAATATAGTAAAATGTTGCAAGATGTTTCAGAGGATCTTTATCAAACAAAATCTGACATGTAATTCACTTAAGGAGATATTAGGTGAGATTACCAATGTTGTAGCCAAAAGGAGATGTCCTCGAGAAAGTCTTAAAGGAAGAAGAGAGGTTTGGGGAGGGAATTCTAGAGTTTAGAATCCAGACAACTTTTTTTTTACAGCCACCAATGGTGGATTATTAAAATCAGGAATGCACAAGAACCCTCTTATTGCTTCTGACCTACTGCCACGAAACATCTGATCACTGAAAAGTCCTTTCCTGGCCCCATGTTAGCTCATATTGTTAGTTCTTCCCTCTCTTCAAATACTGCCTGACTCCACTTGAAAATCTGCCCTCAAACATCCTCTCCTCAAAAAGCCCACCCTCGACCTCTGACATTGTTAATTATGGTTAAAGGTGTTATATAAATGCAAATTGTTGGTGTTTCAACTCTGGCCCATTGTGTACACCTGATTTTCATTGCCCCACTCTTGGTGGCCATGCTTCCAGCTGGATGGCCTCTAGGCTCTGGAATTCCCTCCATTTCTCCAGTACCTCTGCTCCTTTAACGTGCTCCTGAAAACCTACCACTTTCGGTCGCATGCCCTATTATTCTTTGTGTGGCTCAATGTCAATTTTTTTTCCCATAATATTCCTGCAAAACACTTTGGAACATTTAACTTTGTCAAAGGAGCCATATAAATACAAACTGTTGTTCTGGTGATCACAGAAAACTGAATCTGTTATCATCCAGCGTCTATGCAGCATACTGTGTTCAGCTGAGGGCAACATACTACAACCAATATATTAAGGGTTAGTGTGCATTCCCCTTACTTATTTAATTGAGATTTTAACCAGTTTGAATGGAATGGAATAGCACATCAGTCTCCTCTACAATGGGGAGATAAAGCACAGACTGGGTGACCACTTCGCTGAACGACTACATTCTGTTCGTAAAAGTGACCATGAGCTTCCAATTGCCTACCACTTCAACACATCACCATGTTCCCATGTAAACATCTCTGTCTCAGATCTGCTGCACTGCTCCAGTGAGGCCCAACGCAAGCTGGAGGAATAAAATCTCATTTTCTGCCTCGGTACCTTACAGCCTCCAGGACACAACAATTTCAGAATGTGAACATCGTCCTCTATGTTTGTTACCATCCCCCACACCTCTAGGTCTTGTTTTGTCTGGATTGCTCCCAGAACAGCCAACTCATTTTCAACTATTTATTTTTCTCATTAGCACCCCTAATTCATCCCTCCCTGTCGACTTATCATCAGCAATTTCTTTGTTTGCCTATCCTTCTCTCCCTCCCTCTGACTTTCTCTCTCTCTCTGGACACCTTCTCCATGTACTCTATTTACATTCACCTCACCTTATCATCAGCATAAATACCACTCCTTCCCAGGTATTTTCACTTCAGAAGAGTCACTGGACTCAAAACGTTAACTCTGTTTTTCTCTGTACAGATGCTGCCAGACCTGCTGAGTTTCTCCAGTGCTTCCTATTTTCGTTTCAGATCTCCAACATCCATGTACTTTGTTTCCATTTTAGTTTATACTAAAGTCTAATTGAAACAGTCTCCCCAATTCACAAAAGGGCAGGTAAACAAAAGGGTGTGACCACTCCTACCGTTCTCCTCTTCCTTCTCCTTACAGCGGAATTCAATGTAACTGTTGGCTTCTTCATTGTGTTCCTTCAGGAGCAGCTTCCTTCCATTACATATCACCAGGCACCGTTCCTTTCCAACCCAGTGAGAGTAAATAAAATTACACAGTTTAATTGTTACCCTGTGAAAAGTGGAGATGAGAATTAGGAAAAGAGTTGTCTTATGAGCACTTGCCAACTGCCAAGTGGTGTTCAACAACAACAAAAATAACTGCATTAATATAGCACCCTTAAGATAGTAAAATTTGCCAAGGGACATCAAATATAGCATTACCATATAGTTGCCAAATAAGGAGATACGAGGATAGGTGATAACTAGTTTGATCAAAGTGGTAAATTTTAAAAAGCATGTCGAAGGAATACAGGAACGGACAGAAAGATGGGGAGGTTTAAAAAGGAGGGAATTCCAGAGCTTAAACACCAGACTACCACAGGTATTGCTGCCAATGCCAGAGAGATTAACAATATAGATGCTGAAGAATTCAGAAATGACAGGAATGCTGATATCACAAATGCGCTAGAACAGGTTCGGCAGGGGCAAGGTGGACGGATCTGAGAACAAAAATGAAATATTTTAAATCAAGGTGCAGTTGGCCAGGGGCCAAAGGTTTATACAACATCACTTTAACAAAATTTATTTTCAGTATGGCTGCAATGAAGTTCTATTCCTTAAATAAATCCAAATCTGCGAAGACAAAACTGATTTAAAATGCAATTTAAATTAATTAATGTAAACTTATAAAGAAGCCAGACTGCAAATACTGAAGGTACACAGAATTTCTGAAATGTAAAGCTAGCTCATGATACGGCTGTCTTATTAACAACATAGTGAAATGGGATGAATGGCCTACGCCTGTTCCGTTTCTCAGGTTTCCCAAACTCATCATCTTTCTCATCATTTGGGTGGCATGGTGGCTCAGTGGTTAGCACTGCTGCCTCACAGTGCCAGGGACCCAGGTTCAATTCCACCCTTGGGCAACTGTCTGCGTGAAGTTTACGCATTATCCCCGTGTCTGCATGGGTTTCCTCCAGGTGCTCTGGTTTCCTCCCACAGTCCAAAGATCTTCAAGTTAGGTGGATTGGCCATGCTAAATTGCCCATAGTGTTCAGGGATGTGTTGATTAGGTGGGTTATAGGGGGATGGATCTGGGTGGGATGCTCAAAGGGTCGGTGTAGACTTGTTGGGCCAAAGGGCCTGTTTCCACACTGTAGGGATTCTATGATAAACTCACACTAGATACTGTAGAGAGACCTGTTCCTCATGAACCTTTATCCCATCACCCATTAGCATTTAACAGAGGAGAGAAAAATGGAACAGTAAAAAAGTTAAGAACAGGGATACCTGTGGAAGAATCCTTGTGGAATTTCTGGCAAAAAGAACGCTCTAACATGGAGATCGTCATCGCTGTCTTCATTCCACTGTTTTGATACCACCTTTGCATCAGTCAAGTAACTTGGGAATAAGTAGGTGAGAGGCGGAGCACTATCTGGCAGTAACCACTGGGAGCCTGGTCTGAACTCGGGTGCATTAGGATTTAGGGCCTGGAGTTTTGAAGAAAGACAGATATCAAAATATTCCAATATTTGGAAGAGTTTGCCCTTCTCTTGGTCATCTCCAATCAGGTCCTCTGCAATTTCATGCAGCTCTTTATTACCGTTTACCCTCAGTTGATGCTTGACAAGTACCATGATGGCTTTATGATGTAGAGTTGCTTTAGTCTGAAAGTCAACAATCCATTTTTGTTGGTCTGGCTTAATGGCTGATTCCTTTTTCAGTGTTTTGGCTGGGATGTTGTTCAGCTGGTTTAACAGATCATGGCGGACAATCATCTGAAATAGCAAAGAAATTGATTGGAAAGACATTCCAGTTTATGTAACCTTGAGTCTGTTTTCCCTATTTACTCAGTGGTACATGTATTAGACAGTTTTCATTTGTGATTGTTGTTACCATTCATGTTATTTCATATATAATCACAAAATCTCCCTAGAAGGGAGATAGAAAAGAAAAACACAGAAAGATTTCTGTAACATAAGAATAAAATACTAAGGAAATCTGAAATGAAAACAGTGAATGCTGGAAATGTTCAGGACAAACGGCAGCATCCATAGAGGGAAATACAGTTCACATTTTAGGTCTGTGATTTTTTTTTCACAGTTCTAATCAATGGCCTTAGACCTGAAACATTAACTCTGTTTCTCGCTCGAAAGATCTTACAAAATTTACTGTGAGTATTTCTATCATTTTCTGTCTTTTATTTCAGATTTTTAAAGGCTTTTCACAATTTCAACATGTTACAGCGAACAAAATATTTTTTGAACTGTGATAATTGTTATAAAATGCAAGTCAATTTATAGACAGCAAGATTCCACAAAGCGAAATATAACAATAAGCAGATAATGTATTTGTGGTGAGTTTGGTGGTGATGAATGCCAGGACACTAGGCAAAGCGCCCTTGTTCTTCCTCCATCAGTGGCAATACACTCTTCAATCTGCCAGGCAAAGACAGATGAGGCCTCCCTTTAAAATCTCATTAAAACACAACACATCTAACAATGCAGTGCTCTTTCTAGATATTTACAATCAACCTGTCAGAGATGTTATTACAAGGTAGGACTTGAACTCCTGACTCAGAGGTAAGGACAATACCACTGCATCACAAGAGATCCTTAAATGAACAGAACAAACTGAGGCCAAAGTATCACCCAGACATGGACATGTAGGAAGACTCTAGAGTGGAAAAGGAAGCTCTGGGATTATTCGAGACAACAAGGTGCAGAGCTGGATGAACACAGCTTTTCTGATGAAGGGTCTAGGCCCGAAACGTCAGCCTTCCTGCTCCTATAATGCTGCTTGGCCTGCTGTGTTCATTCAGCTCTGCACCTTGTTGTCTTGGATTCTCCAGCATCTGCAGTTCCTACTATCTCTGATTCAATTTTAACCCCACTGCGAAGCCTCTTCTAAGGATGCCTAGCCTGAAGAAGTTACCCTCCTCCCTCCGGACAAACCTCAGGGGATCTCTCTCCCACTGCAACTCTCTCGTAATCTGCTTTTCTGATGAAGGGTCTAGGCCCGAAACGTCAGCCTTCCTGCTCCTATGATGCTGCATGGCCTGCTGTGTTCATCCAGCTCTGCACCTTGTTGTCTCGGATTCTCCAGCATCTGCAGTTCCTACTACCTCTGGGATTATTGTTGGCTCTTAAATGTTGCCAAATTCATGTTATTGGTACCACAAAGAAACACAAATTTACACTGATCATAAACTGTTGGCCATTGTAAATTTGAAACTCAAAATACTGAATTATTTTGCTAACCGAACCTTATAGTATAGAAATTGTTCCAGATGCACTATCAAGAGTATAACAATACACGTAACTTATTCCCATCTGAAGGTGAAACCTAGGCTGATGTTTTTCCAACATTCTGTGACTATTGGCAGTTGGATCTCGTTGACAGGAAATCACAGGAACTGTGAGAAATGAATCCATTCTTTCTTCTGCATTCGAATCCCTGCCCTACGTGAGTGTTGTTCCTTTATTTTTGCCTAATTTTGAAACCCATGATATCTCTGCAGAGTTGTCTTGCCTTGTCTGTGTATGAATTATGTTTGCGTGGGTTTCAGGAGATATAGTTTAAAACTGTGTAGTAGTTTAGTTGATAACCAGTTTTAAACCATAAGTTTGTTTCTAATAAATAGGCCTCTCTTTACTTTATTAAAGAATCTGGTGAAGGTCTCTTTTGTTCCAGATAACAGCAGTAAAGAGAAATGATTTGCTGCTTTGGTGATTATTTAAGACATTTATATTTTTGGTGCAGCTCACAGAGTTGTGGGATTTGACTCGAACTCATAACATCTGATGACAGGTTATCAACCTGAAACATTAACTCTGTTTCATCTGACAGATGCTCTCTGACCTGCTGATATCTTCCATCCATTCATTTTTGTTTTTTTTAATTTTCAGCATCTGCAGTGTTTTTCTTACATATTGCTATTTATTTCATTACCACGCCTCTTCTGGAAAGCCTACCTTGACAAAAATCTGCTCTCCTCTCCAACTGCACTTCTGTTTGGTTCTCCTAACCTGGCCACCTTCTTTGCTTTCTGTTTTCCTCCTTACGTATCTTTAAAATAAAACTCATTTTACAGCCATGTTTCCTTCCTCAGCAACTATCCCAGGTTCAACTTATTCCTTGTGGAATCCAACTCCACCCTTCATGTTACAATCACAGATAACATAGAGAATTCCTCAAGGCTTTGCTCTTGCCACACTCTTTGGATGTACTCTCAAAGTTGCTATGAGCTCACTCCCTCAATCTCTACTTTAAGCTAACCAACTGTTCCACAGCTTCATTTCATCCTCCACCTTATTTGGAACTTTAACAAAAAAACATTTTATCGTTCTTTCAGGTGTGAAGGATCACAAGCCCTCACCGACTCATGGGTAGCAGCATCCCTCTTGATTCTTCACCCCTCCTCCAATCCCTCAAGTCTCATCCCTTTCCACACATTCACAATACATCCCGACCTTCACCACTCTGAACCTGAGCACTTTGGCCTTGGAAAAGCTCTGCTTTGTCACCAGGGACCTGAGACTTCACATGTTTGGCAAAGTAACTAGAGAGAAGTAGGGAAGACTTTCTGCATACAGAGTTAAGATTCCGAGTTAAGATTACACTCCCTGAAAGCATTGTGGAATTAGATTTTACAGGAAGTTTCAGAGGACAGTTGGACATAAATAAGAAACATTTACAAAGATGTGGGGAAAAGCCGACAGACTGAATTTAATGATATATCTCTTTCAAAGGGCTGGTACAGAGGTGACAGATTCCTTCTGTGCTGTATGTTTCTACGATTTTATGAATGGTGAAAGGAGGAAGTGATCCAAGAATGACATTCATCTCAAACAGAATGAAAACAGGAGTTAACCCAGTCAGACACCTAAACAAGATGAAAACAGGAGTGATCCCAGTCAGACACTTAAACAAGATGAAAACAGGAATGATCCCAGTCTGACACTTAAACAAGATGAAAACAGGAATGATCCCAGTCTGATACTTAAACAAGATGAAAACAGGAATGATCCCAGTCAGACACCTAAACAAGATGAAAACAGGAATGATCCCAGTCAGACACCTAAACAAGATGAAAACAGGAGTGATCCCAGTCAGACACTTACCTTAAACAAAGTGATCAGAAATGATGGCTTCAGGAATACAGTTTTTTCTAGAGCCTGCAGATTCTGGAACCACAGAATTAACCCAATCCGATGCAAATAACTCAGAATGTATTCCAGTTGTTCGCTGTCAATGTTGTGAAGATTTACCATTTCCAGTAATTCATCGAGTGCTACAGTTCCTGTTTTTAAAAACCCACAACATTAAAAGTCAGCCTCTGTATAACTTGTGTGCTAGGGAATCTATTTGGGGTGAACTGTATGCCTGTGGGAATTACTTTGTGTGGAACTGCAGTCCAGAGTCAGTGTTTGTAGAATCTGTATCCAAGTGTGAATCTGTGTTTGTGGAACCATGTCCCAGTGACAGTTTGTCTCTGGAACTGTATCCCAGTCAGAACTAATGTAAGTGGAACTCTGATCTAATAAGAGTTAGTGTGTGTGGGACTGTACTGAAAGTTGTGATGTAAAGTGTGTGATTTAACATATTAATATCATTTATTTTAGAGTTTGGATTTTGAACTAGTACCAAGTGACCTTTAGTCTGTGTGCATCTGGTCATTTAATGGTTAACTTGTCAGTATTTCTGAAGTAGTAGGAACTGCAGATGCTGGAGATTTCTGAGATAACAAGGTGTAGAGCTGGATGAACACAGCAGGCCAAGCAGCATTAGAGGAGCAGGAAAGCTGAGAAGGGTCTAGGCCCGAAACGTCAACCTTCCTGCTGTGTTCATCCAGCTCTACACCTTGTTATCTCAGATTCTCCAGCATCTGCAGTTCCTACTATCTTTGAAATCGATTAGCTTGCTTTTGGTTTAGAAGAGTTAGAAAATGATATTTAATTGCTTATGGGAAAACCCATAGCTTGGAAAGCTTTTGGTGGCAATTTGCCCATATCTGGTTGGAGTTGGATGAAAAAACATAGTTTCTGATGAAGAAGGGAGATAGGTCAGAACAGTTTAGAAAGCAGTTACCTCAGTGTCAGGGTTTCAGTTTGAAAGCTCTACACTAAGGTGTTTGGTTGGAATCCTAAAGGCATTATGTGGAGCTGAGAAACCCTAAATTCAGTTGTGTGAATAAGCAAGATCTCAAGACAGTTGACTTAAATAAATGATTAAGTCAAACCTTTGAATGTGGCAGAAAAGTGACTCTCTTTGGTTTTCAATGGTATAAAGTGATGGTGTTGGGATAAAAGGGATTGTTACTTTACCAAGTATTTTGAAATATTTCAAACAACGCTACGTGTAAATAGCTTGGTTTAGTCTATTTTATCTTGATTTTTTTTTTGTAATACACTGCTAATTTTTGTTAAAATTTTTTCTGCAGATTGTAAGCTTGTGTTTCAGTGATAAGAGGAGCTGGGATCATAACAAGTGGAAACTCTTATGGAATTTGCATTCACTGGATTTAAGAGGGATCTGTGAATTTCTCTTCATTATAACAGGGATATAATGGTTGGAAGCATAAACTAGCTGCATTGTAGTGATGTTTATTATTGCATGGAATTTGGAGATGGCTTTGAATGTTGCTGAGAGTTTGCTGAAGGTGAAAGATATAACAGTGGATTGTCTGAAATTTTTGGCTAAAACTAAACTGAAATGGCTGGTAGATAAATTGAAGGTAGAAGTAAAATCAGGACCTCATAAGGATGAGATGCTCCAACAGTTAGATTGAAAAAAGGAAACCTGAAATTGGGGTGTTCCAGCTGGAATTATCTAAGATAAAGTTAGGGAAGGAAACGTGAGTTAAAAGAGAGAGCGAAAAGCAGACAATAGGGAAAAGGACACAGAGCTAAGAAAATTTGAAATGGAAAGTGAGGCAAAGGGAAGTCAGAGGACAATAGAAATTGATGAGAGAAAGTAAACCAAAGGAAGATGGAAAATGAGGCAAACAAAACGTAGAGAGAGATGGAAATAAAAACAGTTGAATTCCAAAGAGAAAGGTAACTTAAACAACATGATCTGACCAAAGAAAAGGTTTAAAGTAAAGAAGAAAGAGTAAGGTAATAACTCAAAGAATGATTCTGATTCCAATGAAGGACTTGGTTTAACTTAGACTTTATGCACAGTGACATTTCCAGGATGGAGTCGAAAGGTATTTTACCTCATTTGAGAAGGTAGATGGACAGATGACGTGAAAGAGATTTGTTTCAGAGCTTTTGACAATTACAGTTATGACTGTGTACTATATACCATATCGCCATAAGATTTAGGAGCAGAATTAGGCCATTTAGCCCATCAAGTCAACTCTGCCATTTGATCAGGGCTGACATGTTTCTCAACCCCATTCTCCTGCCTTCTCCACCTAATCCTTGATCCCCATGAGTAATCAAGAACCCATCTACCTCTGTCTTAAATACACTCAATGACCTGGCCTCCAGATTTTGGGTGACAAGGAATTCCACAGATTCACCACCATCTGGCTGAAGAAATTCTTCCTCATCTCAGTTCTAAAGAGTTGCCCCTTCACCCTGTGGCTGTGCCCTCAGGCCTTAGTCTCTCCTACTAGTGGAAACATCTTCGCCAAGTGCACTCTATCCAGACAAGAACAGAAATAGGTATTAAAATGATAGCAGTAGAGAACATTTTTCCTTGGAATGTACTAAGAAGGGAGAGATGGTTCTAGACAGCTGCAAAAAAAACTTTATTTAATATTGACAAAGAGAATCATATCTCTAGGAATTCTGAGTATTTTGTCTCAAAAGGAGGGTGACTCCTTATGCTTAGAATCAGGAGGTAAACCAATAAAGATATTGAGAGACACTGAAGCAAGTCAGTTCACTGATGCTGGTTGATAATACTTTTTGTCCTTCAGAGAGGTTAATGAAGGACAAAATATTGACTGGATGCATATGTGGAGGTTACAAACCAGTCTCAGTATACAGAGTGAGATTAAAAAGTGAATTGGTAAATGGAGAAGTTATAATGGGAATAATGGAATCAATTTCTCTCGAATTTTTCTCTGGCAGGTTCACGAATATTGACCTCACCAAGGCTGGTGATATAATGAGTAGAGGTAAAAGGAACTGAAATGTTACAGAAGGAGTATCCTGTATTGTTCCTTCATTGTGTTGGGGCCAGTCTCAGGCCCATAGAATTAGACAGGAAGAAAAGGAGTCTATGAAACAGGAGAATGATTTGTTATAAATTCAGTTATCAGATACATTTTTTAAAAAATAAAGCTGGGAAAATGAATGTGAAGAGAATGAGGCTGATATGTTTAACCCTTCTCCTTTCATAGAAATGCTACTGATTCAGAATTTAAACAGTTAAATGAAAAACAGCCTGTTCAGAAATTGACTCAGACAAAATACCCAAATGTTATTAATTTGAAGACAAAGTATTAATGGGGAAATGTAGATCAACTCAAATAGCAGCCAATGAGGAATGGATGGTGGTCCATGGGTGGTAATTCTGTCTAAATATCACAATGAATGAAATGCTACAATGGTAAGACCCTTAGATATGAGGAAAACACAGGCTAAAATATAGAACATTTTTTATTGGTCAGGATTAAATTTGGCAGACGTGCCATACATGACAAGTAGTAAAAGCTGTGCCTTTAATTCCAATACCAGCTTTTGCAGAACTACTTATCTGGGTCTTTGCAACACTTTATCAATGCAAAATCATCCTTTTAGAATGAAAAATGCACCAGCAACATTCCAGTGATTAACTCATAAAGCAATTGAAGGCTATGGAGTTGTGTAGTTTTTAACCAAACCTGGAAAAGTTCTATACATCACTGGACTGGTAGCAGTTTATTAACGTCCTGGTTAGAGTTAGATGCAAAAACAGTATCTCCTGAAGAAAGGAGACAGTTCAGGGCAGTTAGGAAATAGGTTACCTCAGTGTAAGGATTAGGTTTGAAAGCTTCAGACCAGAATTGTTTGGTTAGAACCTGAAGGATTATTTGAAACTGAGAAAATCTAAGTTCAGTTGTGTGAATAATTAGAGAAGATGCTATCAAATTCTCAAATTATAAGAAACAGTTGACCAAACCAATAGATGTGATAGAGAATGGTATTTGTGGGTACTGTAAATTGATGGTGTTGGGATAGATGGGATTGTCATTTTACTGTATGTTTTGAGATCTCCCAAATTGTATTACACATAAGTAGCTCAGTTTATTCTATCTTATTTTATTCTATCTTATTCTATCTGTTGCATAATAAATTTCTGTTTGAGTGCTTGTGTTTCAGTGAAAGATCACCTTGTTCAATAAAAATAGACAAAATATGATCTTTAAAGCCAATGCAAGTCAATGCGTGTGGAACTTTACTCCAGTGAGAATCAGTACTTTTAGGAACACGGAAAGGTGTGAAATGAAGAAAGAGTGAGGGAAGAGCAGGAACTGGTTAGTGTGCAGTGACCTATTCAGGACTGAGATGAAGAGTTTTTTTTTCAAAGACTGTACATCTTTGGAATTCTCCATCTTAGAGAGCAGTTAATATTAAGTCGTTGAGTATATTCAAGACAGAGTTCAATTAGTTTTTAGGTACTAAGAGGATTTAGGGACTTGGGATATTTCAGATGTTGTGGCTGAGGTAGAAAAGCCTTGATCTTAATAATGAAGTTGCAGGTTTGAAGAACTGAATGGCCTACTGCTCCTATTTCTTATTTTCTTATGATTGATTGTTGCCAGCATTGAGACTAGCCCCAGTGCTGTGTAAAATGAATAATCCTTACCATGAAATGGAACTTTTTGTGTTTCAATCAGTCCAGTTATAGCTTTTTCCACCTTCTTGTAAGTGACTGGAAGTGTCCGGATTGCATTTGGGAAAATATCTTTATTCCGAACTGATTCTAGAATCTGCATCCAAGCCTTGTTTATAGCATCATATTGAGTGCAGTCAACGGGAATGAGATCCAAAACCTGCAGGGCAAAGATCACCAATTCTAGTTCAACCCTGTTCAAATTCTCAAATATCTTCTCAATTCTCCAAGGAATGATGGAAGAAGGAAGGGAATGAAGGGGGCAAAGAATGTGTGAAAGGACGGAGGGTAAGATAGAAGAAAGGGAAAGAAAGAGGGAAGAATAAGATGAAAAAAAGGAAAACAAAGATGGAGGGAAGGTAGGAGACAGGGACTAGAGAGAATGAAGAAATGAGGAAAGGAAGGGAGTGCAGGAGGGTTAATTTGGAGGGAAAGGCATAGTGTCTATGTTGCTGGACGAGTTAACCAGAAGTTGTGACTTCTAGAAAGTACGGCAACTGAGTTTAATGAATGCGGTAATTTATAGCTGGCACCAGGATAATGACCATGACTCTTGTAGTTTGCTGTCTGCCTGTTGTGAAGCAAACTGGCAAAGGAATGAAGATCGAGACTGACACTTCCTAATTCACTCAGGTTCTGGCAGGATGTGGCATCTTTGTAAAATAACTGAGGCTGATGTGGGGGCCAGAGACCATTATAAATCAAAGAGGACCAAATAATGTTTGAATAACATCACCTCTATCTCTCTGCCTCCTCCTGTTCCTCCCCAACAGTGGGCAGCATCAGAAGTATTACTTGTCACTCCTTGTTCCATGCCAATGTCTGCCCACTAGTGAAGCACAAAAATCCAGTGGCATCAGCGCCAATGGTCCCAATCTGATGTTACCATGGATTTGGTTCTGCCCTGTTTAACTTAATTCTTTATTCATTCACATGACGAGGGCATCGTTGGCTAGGCAGCATTTATTGCCCATCCAGAGGGCAGTTAAGAGTCAACCGCATTGCTGTGGGTCTGGAGTCACATGTAGGCCAGACTAGGTAAGGTTGGTGGATTTCCTTCCCTAAAGGACATTAGTGAACCAGATGGGTTTTTCCCCAACAATCAACAATGGATTCATGGTCATCATTAGATTCTTAATTCCAGATATTTTATTGAATTCAAATTCCACCATCTGCTGCGGTGGGATCCGAACCCAGGTGCCGGGAACAGTCCCCATTAACAGTCCAGCAATAATACCACTGGGCCATCACCTCCCCTTAATGTGCGTAAGTGAAACAAAGTGTTTCCAAACAAGGCAGTGACCCTTTAAGAGGTTAGCATACCCAGCATGAACCTTGTTCTACCTTATAGAGAGATCATTATCTTCACCTTTAAATTATACTTGACTAAATCATCCAGCTTATTTGCTTGATCCCTGTATAATTCACACTGTGATTTCTCATTTAGTTTCGCCAGGCGCTGATTCAAATTCTCGTTTCTTTCTGTCAGCATCTCTTTGATCTTCTCTTCAATGTCCTTCTTCTTCATCTGGACCTCATCCTTCTTACACAGATCCACATGAGTCCCAATAGGAATTACAATGGAATCTGGAACTCTCATGAAAATGTTATTGATCCAGAAACCAACCAGCTCCTTGAAGGAATCATTGTCATCCATCTTATACCTGGAGAAAAATAACTAGCATCACTTAAAGACAAAACGAAACAAGACAGGGGGCCAATTGTGCAACTCAGAAAGCTTGTTTATCTCATCAACTCTATCACAGATGCTGCCCTGCAATACTAACCTCTTGTAAGAGAGCCTCCAGAAAATTCATTCAACCTCACAACTCCATATTAGGGCCCATTTACAATCAACATACCATTGCCCAAACCTTGGCATTTGATGCACTGGGGATTGTTTGACCTTCCAAGTCTGAGACTACCCTTTGATCTCCAACACCAAACCAAGCCTGAGATTTATCCAGGCTCTTTCAGAAAAGTCTAGTCAATCAGTAACAGTGGCTGTTCACTGACAGTAAATCATCTGAAAATAAACATACTCGGGTCAAACTTTTTCTGTCATGAAAGTACATGTGAGCAAAGCAGAACTTGATTTTTGGAATGAGAGTTCAGATTGAACATACACAAGTTACAAGCTTGTTTAAAAACTCAATGAGCTGATTTTCTAAAAAGGCAGTGATGAAAACAACATTGGAATACTGAGACACTTTTGTAGAATCTCTACAGTGTGGAAACAGGCCATTCGGCCCAACAAGTCCACACCACCACACCACCCCTCACAAAGAGCCTCCCACCCAGACCTATCCCCCTGCCATTTCCCTGTAATTCCCATGCCGAATCCACCTAACTTACACACACCTGGTCACTAAGGGTAATTTAGCATTGCCAATCCATCTAACTTGCACATCTTTGGACCAGGGGAAGGAAACTAGAGCAAACCCACACAGACATGGGGAGAATGTGCAAACTCCACACAGACAGTCACCCGAGTGTGGAATCAAACCTGGGTCCCTGGCGCTGTGAGGCAACATTGCTAACCACTGAGCCACACTGGGACTGTGAGACAGTGGGACATTTTGACACTAGTATTTGGACCCTGGGGCACTGTAATACTGGGGAACTGACGCTGATAGTGTGACACTGGAAAATGGCAATCAAAAATATGAATAGCACAGAATGAAAAGTATTCAAATGGGATTTGCTCATCTTAGTTTGGACATAAGGAGAAGGGAACAATGGACAGAATGAAAGGAATGCATTAAGAGAGAGAGGGAAACAATTAAAGCAAACTAAGTGGAGGATCTTTTTTAAATAGGAGAAAAGGAAGAGAATGTAAATTGGAGTGATGGAGGAAATCCAGCAAAGAGACAGGGAGAGGCATAAGACAGCAAGAAAGAAAGAGATGAAAGGGGAGATAAGAAAGAATAATGAGGAGGGGTCACTAAATATTGATTCACATCAGGAGGTTTGGATCTGCTTCCCCTAGCTCCAATGATTCAGTTAACTGCAGTTCCGCAGATGAAGCAGATGTTTTGCACATCTTTGATACATGCTGTCATACACCGAGCTGTGTTCACTCAGTGAGATACAGGGCTGCTTGAAAATACCTTTTAAAAATAAAGCAGTATGATTAACACTCAGAGCAGATCAGGCAACTCCAAACCTCTGGAATAAAAGTGAAATGCTGCAGATCCTGGAAATCTGAAACAAACACCAAGAATGACAAACAGACTGAAGAGGAGTCAACATGGGATTTCTGACACCAAGGCTGTTTCTCTCTCCACAGATACTGCTGAGTTTCTCCAGCATTCCTCTGTGATTGTTCCTGATCTCTCGATCCTAGCCATCCGCTCACCTGTGCAAGTCAATGACAACCACGACCAGGGCTTGTGGTGTGATGAAGACATGGTGAGTCAGATAATACTCCAGGTGCCCAGCGAAATCCCAGCACAGGAAGGAGAAGTCTTTGATTTGAAACTCGCTGATCTCAATCCCGATTGTCCTGTCTTCCTCTGCAATTGTCACCAATTCCCGCTTGGTCAAACTTTTACATACAGTTGACTTGCCCGCCATGGATGCTCCGAGAAACATGGTCTTGACCCGCTTGTCATTCAGAGACTCGTTGTTCTGGAGCTGTTTGAAATAACTGCGGATGTGCTGGAGGCCTCCAACACAGACTTCATCAGGGGGCTCCCTGAGTGGATTTGCACGGGCACTGAATCGCCTGAGAGAGCAGCCTTCAAACAGCACAAGCGGCAGCTCACACAACTTGTTATTTTCAATGTAAAATTCCTCAAGTTTTCCTAATTTGCCAATTGTGTCAGGAATTTTCTTGATAAGGTTGTGAGACATGTTAAGGTACTGCAGCTCGGCACAACAGGTAAGGTCTCCCGGGAAGTCACTGAGCCGGTTGTTGTTGAGTTTAAGCTGTTTTAGGAGTGGGAGGCAGGAGAAAATTCCCTCTGGGATCTGTGGGATTTTGTTCTGGTTCAAATGCAGCTTTTCAAGATATCGCAGCGAGCCAATCTCTGAGGGAAAGTCCACCAGCTCATTCTTAGACAAGATGAGGGTCTCCAAACTCCTCAACTTCGAAATGTCTCTGACATTCTTCAGTCTGTTGCGGTCTAAATTGAGCTGACAGATCTGTGGGTTCTGCAGGATGTCCAGAGGTAAAACTTTCAGACGCCTCATGGATAGGTCCACATCTCGACCTTGGTTTTGCTCAGCTGCCTGGCTTTGCTCTGAAAAACAAACACACTTTCAAAAACAAATTCATTTAAAACTGGAGAATCAGAAATCTTCAGTGATATATTCCTGAGCAATGGCTGTATGCTGATTTTTTTAAATGAAATTTATAGAAGATTAGCGAGTCAAGCTCTCAAATTAAGGGCTGTGTTCTCTTTTCCTGGCTGAACAGAGGTTGGGCTTTAGTGTGGTTTGTGTGCAGCATTCCAACCAACTTTACACGTCACTGACAAGCACCAGCAGATGGAAGTGTGTAAATCTGGGGAGTGTGTGGGTGTGTGTATATACATGTGCGTGTGTGTGTGTGTGTGTGTGTGCGCGCGCGCGCGCTCACATGCTTGTGTGTGTGTCCATGCATGTGTGTGTCCATGCGTGTGTGTGTGCGTGTGCGTGTCTATGCATGAATGTGTGTATATGCGTGTGCACGTGCATATGTATGTGTATGTGTGTGTGTGCGTGTGTGTGTGCATGTGCATGTGTTTGTGTGTGTGTGCGTTTGTACGTGCATGCGTGTGTCTGTGTGTGTGTCTGTGTGTGTGTTTGTGTGTGTATGTGCATGTGTGTGTGTGCTTGTGTGTGTGTTTGTGTGTGTACATGTCCATGCGTGTGTGTGCATGTCCGTGCATGTGTGTGTTTGTGTGTCCATGCGTGTGTCCATGTGTGTGTGTGCGCGTGTGTGTGTTTGTGTGTGTGCGCATGCATGTTTTTGTGAGTATGTGTGCGCATGTGATGTGCGTGTGCACGTGTCCGTGTGTGCATGCGTGTGTGTGTTTGTGAGTATGTGTGTGTGTTTGTGATTGTGTGTGTGCCTGTGAGAGACTCTGTGTGTGTGTAAATCAGGTAGTGTAAATCTAGGAGAGTGTGTGTGTTCCTGTGTGTGCGATAGCATGTGTGTGTCTGTGTGTGTGTGGGAGAGAGACTGTGTGTGTATGTGTGTGTGTGCATGTGTGCGTGTGTGTATGTGTGTGTGCGTGTGTTCCTGCATGCATGTGTGTGTGTGTAAATCAGGGAGTGTAAATTCAGGAGTATGTTTGTAAAAATCAGGGAGTGTAAATCCAGGAGTGTGTGTGTAGATCTGGGTGGTCGCCGTATGATTAAAAAGTGTGTAAAGGAGGGAGTGTAAATCTAGGAGAATGTGCATAAATCCAGGAGTAGATGTGGGTGTGTAAATCAGGTGTGAGTGTGAGTGAGTGTGTGTGTGTGTGTGTGTGTGTGTGTGTGTGTGTGTGTGTATATCAGGGGAGTGTAAATCAACAAGGTGTGCCAAAATGAGAGGTGGGGTACTTTAATTCAGCAGAGTATAAATTTGGGGAGGTGAGTGTAAATGGCAGATGTGCATATCTGAGGAGGTGTGTGAATTAGGGAATGTAAATTCAAGAATGCATAAATCAGAGAATGAGTATACAATCAGAAGAGTGTAAATCCTGGTTGAGGGTGGTTAAATCAAGAATGTAAATTGTTAGGGTGTAAATCAAGGAGGGAGTAAGTCGGGAGGTTGAACATCAGGGGGTGTAAATGTGGAATTGTAAATCTGGGAATGTAAATTATGTGGGTATAAATTAGGGATGTAATTTGAATTATAAATCAGGGAGCATAATGTGTAAATCCAAGGGTGTAACTTGCAGAGATTTAAATCAGTGAGTGGAATTTGTAAAGGTGTATATCACAGGCAAGGAGAGTGGAATGGGTGTGAAATCATTACTTTTCTTTTAATGTTCAATTTCTACCCAGTGAGCAGTGGAAACTGCCGAAGGGATGGGACGGTGTGTTGAGGGTGACCGATGAGTGAACCAGGGTATCATTGAGGGAATGGTCCCTTTGGAATGCTGATAGGGAAGGGCAGGGGAAGATATGTTTAACAACGGCATCGCACACTACACTGGATGAAATGATAGAGGATGATCCATTAAATTTGAAACCTGGTACATGGAAGACAAGGGATGGTGAGAAAGGGATGAGAAAAGAAGATGGGAAATGGAATGGACATGGTCAAAGAGCCTCCTGTGAACAACACAGGTTGTTGGTGTGCCAAAGATTAAGCTCAAAACAAAAAGTGCTGCAGAAACTCAGCAGGTGTGCCAGCATCTGTACAGTGAATTAACATTTTCAGTTCTAGAATCATAGATTCCCCACAGTGTGGAAACAGGCCCTTCAGCCCAACAATTCCACACTGACCCTCAGGGCATCCCACCCAGACCCATTCCCCTAATCTACACATCCCTGAACACTACGGGCAATTTAGCATGGCCAATCCATCTAACATGCACATCTTTAGATTGTGGGAGGAAACCCACACAGACACGGGGAGAATGTGCAAATTCCACACAGACAGTCGCCCAAGGGTGGAATCAAACCCGGGTCCCCGGCGCTGTGAGGCAGCAGTGCTAACCACTGAGCCATCATGCCGCCCCGATATGACTCCTTTTCAGAACAGAAAGGGGCTAGAAAATGATGGTTCTTATGGTGATGACAGAGAGGGAGGAGGAGTGAGTGGAACAGATTGTGAGGGCACCCAGAGCAAAAGACAGAGCAAGTGTTAATGGTGGTACAAAAACAGAACTGAGGAAGGGTCACCGGACCTGAAATGTTAACTCTGATTTTTTCTTCACAGATGCCACCAGACCTGTTCAGCCCTTTCCAGCAACTTCTGTTTTTGTTCATGATTTACAGCATCCGCAGTTCTTTTGGGTTTTATTTTAAGGAGGGATAGAGGTGTAAATTAGATGTAAATAATAGATGTGGAAAAGAGAAAACTCTTCTGCAAACAAAGAAGACATGAGCAAGACATGGCCCAGGGAGGCTGGGGAGATGTCAGACAAATAAAGGATTCATACTCTGAAGTTGTTGAGTTCAATATTGAGTCCTTGAGGCTTCAAAGTGCATAAATATTAATTGTTCTCCTTCAGCTCGCATTGAACTTTGTATCAGGCCAAGGAAGGAAATGTTAGCATGGGAGCAAGACAATTTATTGAATCGTCAAGCAAGTGGAAGATTGCGCTCATTGTTATGGACAGAGCAGAGGTGCTCTGTAAAGTGGTCACTCTGTTTGCATTTGCTTTAATCGATGTGAAGAAGGCAACTATGAGCAGCAAATACAATAGACAGCAAATACAATATACGAGTCTGAAAGAAGCACAAGTGAACCATTTCTTCACCTGGAAGGCATGTCTGTGGCCTTGGACAGTGAGGAGGGAGGAGGTGAATAGGTGAGTGTTACATCTTCTGTAATTGTATGGCCTTGGGGGAGTGAAGAACTGTTAGGAGTGATGGAGGAATGGACCAGGGAGTCCTGGAGAGAACTATCCCTGTGGAATGCTGACAATGGAAGGGGGCAAAGATGTGTTTGCTAGTGGCATCTTGCTGAATGTGGTGGAAATGGTGAAGGGTAATCCTGGTGAGACTAGTTAGTTGGAAAAGGAGAATAGGAGGAACCCTATTGCAGTTCTTGGAGGGAGGGAAAGGGTGAGGGTAGAAATGTGGGAGATGGGTCAGGCTTAGTTGAGGGCCCTGTCAACCATGATGCAAGAGAGTATCCTTGGTTAAGGAACAAGGAGTACTTGTTGGAGGCACTTCTGTGGAAGATGGCATCATTGGAAAAAATGCAACGGAGACAGAGAAACTGACAGAATATTCTGGGGTCCTTGCAACAGGCAGGGTATGAGAAAGGGCAATATTGGTAACTGTGGGAGTCAGTGGGTTTGTAATGGATTTTGGTGGACAGCCTATCCCCAGAAATAGAAGCAGTGAAGTCAGGGAAGGAAGAGTCAGAGATGAACCAGGTGAAAGTGAGAGAAGGATGGAAAATGGAAAGTAATTTTTTTCCTAATTCTGAACAATAGCAGACTTCCTTTGGGAAATTACACTCAGTTGCTAATAAGATTGTTCTATATAAAGAAAACTATTTGGAAACAGGAAGTGGAGCTTCAGAAAGTGGGTTACTCTGCTCCCACATACCAAAGAGAGAGAGAGAGAGACTCAGTGAAAGGCTGAGGGGCAGGACCGCACGCAGAGTCACACAAATAACAGCGTCAGAGAGAAATGCTGAAGCTGGGAGAGAGGGATAGAGACAGATTGCGCCGCCAAACGGACACGTCTCTGAGGCAGAATTTGAGGGTGCGGAACAGGACTCTCACAGAATTTTTGTCCCTGGGAATAAGATCACCGAACTGCCGGGCTGGGCTGCCAAACTTAGGGCTGCAAACAGGGAAGAGCCCTTTGGTGCAAGCTGCTGTGTCCAGTCACACAGGGGGATCTGAGCCGGCACATCTGTGGGGAAAGGGTCCCGAGTGTGCCGGCAGTGTCTGATGCGGAGCTAGACCCAACCAAGCAGAAAGAGGCTGATTCACTCACCCGCTCTCCCGGCCATTCTGCTCCGAAAAGGGAAACGAAACTGAAAGCGTGTGACGTGTTGGGGTTGTCTCCGAGGATATTGTGGGAACTGAGGATGAGGACAGTCTCAGAAGGAGCAAATATACACCCCCCACCCCAGCCGCCCCATCAAACACACACACATAGATCTCTTCTTCCAGAGGGGGTAACATGATCACAAAGGACAGGTCTGAAAGGTATCAGAAAGGGTCAATATTCTCCCAAAGTGCTTTTCCCCCTCTTCCGAAGCAGGCAGTTTATTACCAATTGTGCAGCTCTGTCCCAGGAGAGGGTACATTTAAAGTCGGAGAGACAACTTACTGGTTTACAGGGCCATACTGAAAAGCAATGGACAGCATCAGATTGGATGATACCGGAATGCCCGTCTTCCTTTTCCCCACACTGTTGCCACTGAATTGGGCCAGAGGGAGGGTAGGAAGACGGCTCAAACAGCACAGGGATGCAGCCCATTGCAATGTGGAGGGACCGTGGATTCTCTCCAACCCAACACCGGAAGAATGGACATGCTGTAATTCTTTGTGCAAAATGACCCAGACAATGGATTTCTGGCTGACATGGTGAGAAATCCCTGCACGCTGTTGTACTTACATATTGGGCTATCAGTCCTGCCAGGAAATGCCCAATACTCCGCTGATGCAGTGGAGGGGAAAGCCATTCAGCCACTTTGCTCGGCTTGTATAAATTGTCCATGTTTTCCTAGTTGATGTTTAGGAGAACACAGCCCTGGTACACACGGATCTTTGTATTTTCAGTTAGTTTGCTGCTGCTCAACACTTGCCTTCTCAACTTTGACGCTACAGCTGTGGCCTTGGAGATTCTGGTTTTGATTTCAGCATCAAAGGACAAGTTCTTCGAAATTCTTGATCCAAGGCAGGTGAAAATACCAATCATAGGTAGTAGACCATTCAGCCCATCTAGCCTGCTTGCCATTCAATCAGATCATGGCTGAGCTAATTGTGCCCTCATGTGTAGATTCCAGCCTAACCCTGATACCCATTGAATTTCTGTTATTCAAAATTGGTGTAGCTGTTGATGAGCTCCAGAGTGAAGATGGTAGTATTGGTGGAAAGTGGCACGTCTATGCCCTAGCTCTTAACCTTGATTTGCCTAATACCGATTGTCAGTCCAAAGTCCTGTTGGCCCAAGTGAACCAAGTTAAAACTATTGGGATGTCATTGGCAAACAACAACTCATAGTCGAGCACGTTACTTCAGTCTTGGTGCCAAGTTGAACAACATGTTAGTTCTGGTATGCAGGCAGATGCCCTCATTTGAGTCACCAAAAGCATACAGTGAGAACATAGAAAAAAAGCCAAAGAAAGTTGCCACCAAGACATTGCAATAGTTGAGCTGACAATTGATCTTGAACACATCTGATATTGCTCCATCATAACTGATGGAACTAGGGATGTTCACATGGAAAGGAGATACCCAGGAGTGCGGCTGGACAGCCTATTTTGCATGGAAGTTTGAAGAATCTGTCTTTGCTAATAAAACCAAGGATCTTGATGAGGTACATGAAGACGATGTGGGGTGATCTGTATTATTGGCAGCATTTATTCAGTAAGTACTGAAGTGAGAAGATCAGGTTGGACTGTCCATCTGCCAGTTTTGAAGCTGCACAAAGACTCAGAATAGATGTGTGACACCAGCATTTGCAGTCTGATTAAAGTGCATGGTGGATCGGTGGTTAGCTCTGCTGCCTCACAGCACCAGGGACTTGGGTTCGATTCCACCTTCTGGCGGCTGTCTGTGTGGAGTTTGCACACTCCCCCTGTGTCTGCATGGGTTTCCTCTGCGTGCTCCAGTTTCCTCCCACAGTCCAAAGATGTGCAGAGTAGGTGAATTGGCCACGCTGATTGCCTGTAGCGTTCAGGGATGTTTATGTTAGGTGGGCCAGATGTGGGGAAATGGAGGGGATGGGGGCTGGGCCTGGGTGGGATGCTCTTCCCAGGGGTGGTGTGGACTTGTTGGGCCAAGTGGCCTGCTTCCACATATAGTGATTCTGTTCTGTGAAAAAATCCTTCCCTACAACATTTGGCAAGGAGCTACCTTGGTAATTGTTGCAGTCGCTATGATGCCCCTTGTTTTTGTACAAGGTGACTGTATCACCTGTCACTACCACATTTCTGTGAAAGGAATGGATGCTGCACAGTAACCATCAAACCCATCAGTACAGATAACATCAATTTTCAATGACGCACAACATGTGGGTCATTGACCACAGGCATAATCAACAAGGACAAAACCTCTAAAAACTATCACCAAGATTTCCAAATAATAAGATAACTTTTGACCACCCTTCTCTCCCCTGCACCATGAGGTCATCATCACAATCATTATCCATTGTTTCTAATGTTAACGTACACTGGCATATTATTTATTAGTGAAGTCTCCCCCTTTGTACTCTGCATTGTAAAGGTGTAGATTACAACCACAGTCATCTATAAAATATATCAGGTAGCACTGGCAAAGTCAGCATTTGTCACTCATCTCTAGTTGCACTTAAGGTGATCCATCTTCTTGAATCATTATCAGCCATATTGTACAGGTACAGCCACAGTGCTGTACGGAAGGGAGTTCCAGGATTTTGATTCAGTGACAGTGAAATATTTCCAAATCAACATGGCCTGTAGATATTTTATAAAGCTCACAGGTCAGTATGCTGTTTCTTTGCCTCCAGGCTTTTTAAAATCTTTAGATTTATCAGAATTTTTAATCAATCTGTTCAGATGTCTTATGATACTTTGCTGGGGCAGGTGGCTTGAACTCAGGCCTCCTGGCACAAAGATGGGGACACAACTAAGAAACAAAATAGATTGTAACCTTGAGAGGAACTTGTAAATAATGAAAATTTTTTAAAAAATCCAAAGGACAGTGCATGTTGGAAATCAGAGACAAAACCAAAAATTGCTAGAAAAACTCAGCAGGTCCAGCAGCATCCGTGGAGAGAAAGCAGAGTTGAAGTTTCACATCCAGTGACCCTTTTTCAGTGTTGATTGTAGCTAGGAAACAGTTGGTATATATGCTAAAGATGAAGGGAGGAGTAAACGATTGGTGGAGATGGAGCCCAAAGAGAGAGATAAATAGTTGGGCTAATGGGGATTGTGAGTGGCCATCAATGGATTGTCTGTGGTAGCAGTCCGTGTGATGAGAAGGCCTAATGTGTGGGTTTGGGGTAAGGATATGGGAGGAGGTGCTCAGGCCCTAAAATTGTTGAACTCAATATTGAGTCTGGAAGGGACATACAGCACAGAAACAGACCCTTTATTACAACTCATTCATGCCAACCAAGATTCCCAAACTAAATTAGTCCCAATTACCAGCACTTGGCTCATGTCCTTCTAAATCTTTCCTATTCACATACCCATCTAAATGTCTCTTAAATGTTGTAACTGTACCTGCATCTACTTTATCTAGCAATTCATTCTACATATGAACCACCCTGTGAGTGAAAAAGTTGCCTCTCAGGTCCCTTTTAAATCTTGCCCCTCTCACCTTAAAATTACGCCCTCCAGTTTTGAACTCCCTAACCATAGGGAAAAGACCTTTGCTATTCACATTATGTCCCTCTCAAGAGATGAGTTACCACAAAATTTTCCCACCTCTGACCACTTTTGTATCCATTGTATTTATGTGGCTGGTTCAGTTAAGTTTATGGTAAATGACTTCAGGACAATGATGATGGATAATGCAGCAATGATTATTGGTTATGAAGGAGAACTGGCTGGGTTCTCCTACTGTAATGTTTGATGACCTGACATTTATGTGATGCAAATATTAATTTCCATACATGTACTCTACACTTAGTGCATGCAGACATGAGAATCTACAGATGGAACCAACCATTGTGCCACCGTAAACGGTAGAAACAGCTAAGATTAAGATAGTATCCTGAGGAACCTCTACAGCAATATCCTGATATTGGGATGATTGGCCTGCAACCATCATTTCTATCGTCTTTTGTGACTTCAGTTAGTAGAGAATTATTCCCAGATCGCACTCACTTCAATATTACTAGAACTCTTTGATTCCACATTGCTCAAATGCTACCTTGATTCTCATTTCATTTCTGGGATTCTACACTTCCCTCTATTTTTGGAATAAGGCTGTAATGAGCTCTAGATTGGAATGGTCAGACTTACGTGGGCTATTTTCCACCGTGTAAAATAGATGCAGTGGTGAGCTTGGTTGGAATCCAGATTGCCAGCACTACATCCAGGTTGTAGAAATTATTTTCTTACACTCAACAGGACAATTGTTAACAAATACCAAAGGTGAAACAACATTTATATTGTACGATAAAGTACTGCAAATTAGTTTACTTAATAAGATAGAGTCTGTGATGTTAGAAGTGGTATATTAGCATGAATAGAGGATTAGTTAACAAAAGAAGACAGAGTTAGGATAAGGGGTGTATTTTCAGGATGGCAACCTGTAAGTAGTGGAGTGCCACGGGAGTCAGTATTGAGACCACAATTATTTATAATATATATTAATGACTTACATGAAGGAAGTGAAGGTATTAGCGCCAAGTTTGCAAATGACACAAAAATGAGCGGGAAAGTTAATATGAGGATGACACAAAAAAACTATGGAGGTAAATAAGCAGGTTAAGTGAGTTGGCAGGTGAACATTGTATAAGAAAATGAGATGATGTACTTTGGCAGGAAGAATAAGAGTGTTTAATATTAGTTAAATGCAGAAAAATTTAGAAAGTTGCAGCACAGAGAGATTTCAGCAAATTGAATGTGGCCTTTATTTCAAAGGGAAAGGAGTATAAAAATAGTGGTCATGTTAAAATTTTATTAGGTTTATAAGTTAGACTACACCTAGAATATTGCAAACAGCAATAAGAAAGATATACTTGCATTGTAGGCAGTCCAGAAATGCTTCACCAGGTTGATCCCAGGTATGCAGGGATTTTATGAGAGGTTAAGTAGATTGGACAAGGAGTTTATATGAGAAACAACCTTATTGAAACACACAAGAGTCTTAGGGGGTTTGACAGGGTAGGTGCTCAGAGATCATTTCCCCTTGTGGAACCAGAGAGCACAATCTCAGATTAAGCGGTCACCCATTTAAAACAGAGATGAAGAAGCCTGCGAAATTTTCTTTTACCACAGAGAGCTGCAGGAGATGGATCATTAATGATGTTCAATGCTGAGATAGAGATTTTTACTCAAAGAGAGAATCTACAGTTATGGGGAAAAGGCAGGAAAATGAGGCTGAGGATTATGAGACCAGCCGAGGCCGAGATCTTGTGGAATGGAGTGGCAGAGTTGAGCCAAAAGGCCTACTTCTGTTCCTTTGTCTATGATTACTCTCTCTAAGGAGGGCATGATCTTCTCCATGTTCCTACTGATACTTTCCCCTCGACCAACATCATTAGAATAGATTATCTGGTAACATCTCATTGTTGCTTGCTGGATTTGCTTTTGGGATTTGATTGCGTAAATTGAATGAGTTTTCTTTATTACAAACATGACTTCGAAAGTACTTGATTACCAGCAAAACATTTTAGGACATCCTGAGGTTGTGAAATGCATTACAGAAATGTAAGCATGTGTTTCTAAAAAGATATCAATGAACCAGTTATGTTTGATAACAATTCAACAACTTCAATGAGTTCAGCTTTTTATCCCTTGGATTAAACACATCGGTCAACAAGGAATTCATGTTGCAATCTCCAGTCATATCTCAACCTTCAAAATGATCACACAACAGTCTATAATTCCTGGCTGTACAAGGACAAATTTTGCTTTTTAGAAAGAAGTTTCAGCTTTTCCAGCAGAATATTTTGAACCTTTCCTCTAACATGTCACTAAAAAGCTGATGCAGCGCGGATGTGATTAAATGCTTTGATGTATCAAGTTGCACCACTACAGCAAGTGTTCTCCAGTGACCTTCACTCTGTGCCGAAAATAGTGACAAAAACCTAGGACTGTACTAAGTCAGCACTCAAAACGCAAAGAGAGGCAGCTGCAGCCAAAATAGAGGCCTTAAAATGGGAATTTGCAGCAACAGACTGCATGCCCACTAAGTCTCTGTAATTAACAATTTGGGAAATTCAACCCTCTACTTTGGACAAAATCTGGTATGAATTAAAGGGCAGAAATTTAGCACTGGCAAGATCTGTAATTATTTTTACTCAAAGAACAGTAGATAAATTGGGGAGGGGTGGGGAGTTGTAAATGGCAGGTAAATGGCTACATTCTGTTGTAGTTTTTGAAAAGTTAGAATATTCGAGTATAAAACAGGGACATCAAACTAAACTTGCTATCAGCGATCAAGCTTTTGGCTACGTGCACTAATGTCTCATTATGTGACTCATTCTCACTAACCACTCTCGAGAAGCACCTTGGGATATTTTGTCTTAATGGCATTACTATAAATATTCTTTTTGTAAAGACATCTACATTACTCCATTCCACATTATCACTACTTCCTGCAAGGAACTCAGCTGCATGAAACTGCTACAAAGCAACAGATTGAGGTAGCTCACCAACAACCTCTCAGGGAAACCAGAAACAGGCAGAACAGACTGCCAGCCTTCTCAACAATGTCTTCATCCAGACACTGAATATCCAAAAAAAAAAACCAGAATAGGACACAAAGATTTGTAATTGATTTCTGTGTAAACAGCTGTTGGAAATTGAAATCAACACTTTTTTGACATTTAATTCAAATCATTTATCAATAAAGAGTAAACTCAGTTCGCCTTGAAAATTCTACTTAAAAACTTTGTCTTCACACACAGTGGCTAAATCCTAAGCAGTCAGCGATGAATCTGTCAGAAAAATTAAAGTAAAAATTTTAAATGCCTCAATTGTCCATTATGTGATTTTACTAATGCATCCAAGTGGAAATAGGAAAGCAAATTCCAAGCCTGTTAAAATTCTTTGAAAAGAATTAGAATCTCATCAAGGATGTCTAAAAATTGAATATAACTTACTCAGAAGCGTTTATAAAGACTGCTGTTGAAGTCCCTTGTTCCTAATTGACTGTAATATGTTCCTGCTGATGTGACACACTCATGAATTGAAAGCTTGCTAAGAAAGGCTTTTTCTTAAAAATGCATGTTAAAAAAAAACTCAAAAGACCCAAAACCTCATCACTCAATGCTGGTAAATCCGTAAACATACAAAAGAACTTTCAGCTCCTGAGGGGAAGTCAATTAGTGTGGTTATTTCTCATAGTTCATTTAGACAACTCCCAGGATCAGTCAGTGTGTTGCAGCATCTCTAAAGTTTAGGGATTTGTTTTCACATTCCACTTGTCAAAACTATACACAGTAGATTCCATCAATGAAAATAAGAGCACTGCACAGCCTCAGCAGGATCTCCCGCAGAGATTTGAATGCAATCAATTATGCATATGTAATAACTAATTTATTACTGTTGGATATGGCAAGCAATCAACTATTGTTCTAGGATCACTTCACAGCTCTCCACTCATTGTGGGATTGTTCCCTACATATGGTTGTCAAGTCACATTCTTCACCTAGACGATGGGTGTTGATCAGCTATTCAGTCGCAACTGATTCTGACTCTTGTCCTCACCCACTAATCAGGAACAGAATCTTGGACCTGTTTATTTTTTGCCTGCCTGATCAGTGAAATTAATCTCAGACACAGAAAGCGCTAATTGAGTTCAGCTAACTCTGGACAAATCAGGAACAGACCCTGTAGAATTAGGCACCTAGCTATTGTACTGGCAGGTACACAGCATCTTTTAATCTATCTTCAATAAAGCGAGAGAAAAATATATATTTGATAAATAAACAAAAAGAGAGCCTGATTAGATGTCTTGCCCCTTGAATTCTCCATGACTAGATGGAACATTCATTCTCACCTTACCTCTCAGTTACACCTGAATTAAAATCATTTGAATTTAAATGTGAAAAATTAGAAAATGTAATGCATGTTCAAAACAATTTAACTTCCACACTGTGTTCAGAGAAAGTGTTTTCAATGGGTCTAAAGCTTTCAGGGATCAGTTTAACACAAGGACAATTCAAAGGATAGTCCCTTGTCACGTTTGATTTTATGTCTCTTTAAAATAATCTTTTGTTTAAGCAATATGAAAAGGTTTGCAAATGTACTAACACAGTTAAACAGACTAATCCTGTTTTCTCTTTAAAAAGATGGAAAATGGCTTAAAAAAACTCATGTCCAAAGGCAAACTTAAACCATGCCAAATGTTCTGTGATGTGGACAATACAGTCAATTCCCATTAATAAGGCATTGTGAATAATAAAAATGAATCCAGGGCCTTGACAGAGGAGTGGAAATGGGTACAGAGTAGATAATGACGAAGTTAACACAGAATCCCTATCAGAACCAGCTAAATAGGCAAGGTGATTAGGATGCACAGAATTTAGATTTAGAGCAACAATGTGTTTGAGCCTTAAGGATGAAATAGATGTGTTAGGCTTGGAGAACCAGTGCATGTTGGCAGGAGCTAAGCCAATAGGCATATTGGAAATAGGCAGGGAGGTGGAAGGAGTAGAATTCAGGACCAGTTGAAAGTTTATAGTAAATACAGTTGGCAAAACAATTCCATTTGTTTTGTCAATTGTAAATACAACAGGCAATTTATTGACCAGTACGCTGACAATAACCATGAATTTGAGCAATTATCAATGAAAGGTGATCAACCTGAAATGTGAACTGTTTCTTTCTCTCCACTAACACTGCCAGGCTTGATTATTTACAGAATTTTCTGGTTTTATTTCAGATTTGCAGAATCTGCAGTACTTTGCTTTAGTTACGAAATGCCCTTCAGGAAAGGGAAAATTATCATCCCATGTTAACCAGAACCTACAGCCAACTCCAGTCCCACACAATATGCACGACAAGCCACTTCATTGCCAGGGCAACTTAGGGTGGAGACGAAATTACTGCATGCTGAAATAATAAAATAAATTACTATATTCAGGTAACATGATAAGAGTAGCGGAAATCTGGAAAATCTCTCCCCAGTAGACTGTGAAAGTTGTGCAATAATTGGAGACTTCAGGATTGAGATAATTTCATCGTTGTTGTGTGTGACATTAATGGCCTTCACCCTCTCCTGCTTGAGGAGCTGAATGATCCTTTCCTGTTTCTAAGTAACAGGCTTGAGGAGCTGAATAGTCTCCTGCTGCTCTTAATGTTACCGAAATCTGAAGTCCCAGCACAATGTTCTAGTTTGCAAGAACCACAGGTGTCCAAAAGGCTGACCAATTTGATTAATCAGGATGAGTATTTAAGCAAGAAGTTTCTATGCATTGTTATTCTAATCTTAGTTGGGTTGTTTAAGCACAATGAAAACAGAAAGAATGAACCCAACGTACCATTTACAATGCATTTTATCATCACAAACCTATAATTATTCATATTGGGGAGAGGAAAAAAACACTCCATTTCTCTAACAAATGAATTATTTGAATATTATTTACAGCAATAAAAGATGCAAATATGGCTTTTAAATTATAACTTATGACAAGCAGTTTAGAGCGTTGATGATCTTTAGCAAATTTTGATAAGCCAAGATGTTATGATTTAACCAGAAACGAGTAACCTAAAAATAGACTGTTTGAAAAAAGTGGCTAATGTTTTATAAACCCGAATTATTTAGACTTTTACCTTGTATCAGGCACAATCAGACTGACTAAACAGAGCTTCAAGTATTCAATTGATCTTAAGGAAAGGAACATTATGCTAAAGGCAAACAATGTCTATAAATCGGATTCATGGCAGGAAAGACAGTCACAGTGTGAAATTGTGTTCTATTGTACAAAAGAAAAGACAATGGGCAGGAAGGTTCCAGTTGAAGATCTTCTGGCCTCTTTTTTTTCCTTTCTCCCAGGCGCATTTATACATTGACTGACGAAACCATGAAATATAAAGTGTCTCGGTGCTGCAGTCAACATTGCCCTGTTATAATTGGTCTCGGAGTGTTCTCCACATTCACAGGAGAAACCGTACAATGAACCAAAGAGGGTATTGTCTTTGTAGGTTTCACACATTCAGCTTGCTTCTGGCTTTGCCTCTGTTTCTTTGCTGCTTTCTCCTTCTGCTCCTTTCTTGTATTTCCTGATGTGTTTGTATTTCTCCACATAACCTTTCACAAGGTTAGCAACTTTGACTGGATTAATTTCACCACTCTTGCTGTGGCAGATCTGTAGCATAATATTTTCAAAAAGACATACTTTGTGTTAAAACGTTCATTCCAATTTGAACCCAAAGAAACCATGTTTTTTTCTGTTGCACTAGTTGTTTGTCTTTACATCACCTTGGCTTTGTTAACAGCACTCTCAACTGAGACAGAAATTTGAGATTCAGGCCTCACTTCAGGGATTCAACCCATAACCTAGACTCTTGCACACAAATAGTTGTTTCATAGTATGGAATTGAATACTGCTGAACACATTTTGTCAACGCTTTTCACCTTGCAGCTATCAAGGTATCCACAAAAATACCAAGGTAAAGAGGAACAACATTTTATACTGTATAAGAGAGTGCTGATCAGTTAGCTAGCGGACTCTGATAGAGGTGTTGCCATTCTGAATATACTAATTAGATGATAACTGGTAGTTAGTTAACTACTAAACTAGGTTTCAATGTAAACCAGCCAAATTAACGGATAAATCAAGGCATTGCCATGAAGAACAAACCTGAGAATGGCTGCTGTTTAGTTTGTTAGGTTAAAATCGCTGCTGCATGCCTATGTTATTCCTGTCTGCAAAGAGCAGAACTCTGTGAATTAAGGTATGTAGTTTCCATTATGCAAGCCCTACTGCAAACCCCACTGACAATCAAATCCTAATGCTTACAACATTCAGGATTGTTTAGCAGCTTGAAAAGTTGCAGCCTTATGCCCATTCATGAGTTTGAGTGATATACAACAAGAAATAATTTGAGAAAGGCAAAACACCTTTGATGCCCCCTATTTCAACGTCAGGCTTCCATGGTGAGCAAATGGCTCAGGCTCTATTTGGAAGGTTGCTGGTAAGACTAATCTTTTGTGTGGGCCTAAGGCTGCCACTTTTAATCCTGAAAAATGCCCAGTCTACTTCATATTACCCTGGAAGGATATATCACATCATAAAAATCTGAGCACAAGGTGAAGCTAGCTTTTGTATGTTACTACTATGCAGGCAGGAACAAGTGTGGTATTCGTTCTTAATAGTCCCCTGCCATTACGCCAAAAAGTCACTGAGTAATGTGGTATATTTCACTGCTGACATGATGTGGCTGTATGTTCCAAAGACTGGTGGATTGTCTCAAACAGCATGTTCGTTCAGCTGTTTGTAACACGCAAGGTACTGAGTGTGATTAAGTGATTGGATTATTTAGTACATTTTATCCAGAGTGCACCAGGAATTATGCTGGCCACCAATGTTAAATTATTGACAGTCGGACTCGCAGCTTGGTACACCTGCAAATATTGGAAGCCACACGTATTAATACACAAGGTCCTGTTCTTTGTAGTCTGGGTGAATACATACACATATTGCATCTATTTCAACGTAAAACAGGTGGCAGCCATTCTCTGGTTCATTCCTCGGGGCATTGCCTTGACCAATCAGAGCTAACCTGTCTGGCTTAAATTTAAACAAAGGTTCGCAGTTAACTAACATTCACCATCCAACTGGTGCATTCTCCATGTCAACATCTCTACCAGTCAGAGTACACTTTCCAATCAATCAGCACTCTCTTCCTATACAGTATAAAATGTTGTTCTCCTTTACATTGGTATCTTGATACCGTCCTGAGTGAGAGACAAAAAACTTCACCAAAATGAATCCTTTTTCAGAGCTAATCTAGATGCTTGGTGTATTACCATGGAACTGTTGTCTTCTGGATGGGATGTTAAACCAAGGTTTTCTTCTGCTTGTATTGAGTAAAAGATCATGTAGCAGTATTCCCTTGCTGCTTTTGACAAGATTTTACATCCCCTAATATCACACAAAAACTGGCCATTCACTGAATTTGCTGTTTAAGAGGCCTTGCTATGTGTAAATTGCCTGTCAGGTCATCCTGCACAGCAGCCATCATATTGGCTCAGAAGTAACTCATTGGTTTAACTTGATTGCACAAGTGGAATTAAGGACAAAAGTAGCAAGGCTTAGGCACAGAATTCATTAACTCGCAATCCTAGCTCCTCTGAGAAAGTAATTGTGGGCATGCTTGAACTACTGCAGCTTTTATACAATTGAGTATTCCCAAAATCGTGTCTCACCAACTTGATTGAGTTTTTTGAAGAAGTGACAAAGAAGACTGATGAAGGCAGAGCGGTAGACATTGTCTATATGGACTTCAGCAAGGCGTTCAACAAGGTTCCACATGGTAGATGATTAGCAAGGTTAGATCACATGGAATTCAGTGGGAGCTAGCCAAATGGATACAAAACTGGCTTGAAGGTCGGAGACAGAGGGTGGTGGTAGAGGATTGTTTTTCGGACTAGAGGCCTGTGACCAGCGGTGTACCGCAAGGATCGGTGCTGGGTCCACTGCTTTTTGTCTTTTATAAATGATTTGGATGTGAATACTGGAGGTATGGTTAGTAAGTTTGCAGATGACACCAAAATTGGTGGCGTAGTGGACAGTGAAGAAGGTTATCTCAAGAGTACAATGGGACTTTGATTAGATGGGCCAATAGGCCCAGGAGTGGCAGATAGAGTTTAATTTAGATAAATGTGAGGTGTTGTATTTTGGTAAGGCAAACCAGGGAGGGATTTATACAGCTCATGGTAGGACCCTGGGGAATGCTGACGAACAAAGAGATCTTGGGATGCGGGTGCATAGTTCATGAAGACTACGTTCAGCATGCTTGCCTTCTTTGGTCAGTGCGTTGAGTATAGGAGTCGGGATGTCACATTGCAGCTATACAGGACATCGGTGAGGCCACTTTTAGTAAACTGCTTTCAGTTCTGGTCTCTCTGTTATGGGATAAGATGTTAAACTTGAAAGGGTTCAGAAAATATTTACAAGGATGTTGCTGGGATTGGAGGGTTTGAGCTATAGGGATGACGCTATAGAGGTTTATAAAATCATGAGGGACGTGGATAGCGTGAATAGATAAGATCTTTTTCCTAGGGCAGGGGAGTCAAAAACTAGAGGCAATAGGTTTAAAGTAAGAGGGGCAACTTTTTCCACGTAGAGGGTAGTGTTTGTATGGAACGAGTTGCCAGAGGAAGTGATGGAGGCGGCTACAATTACAACATTTAAAAGGCATCTGAATGGGTACAGGAATAGGAGGGATTTAGAGGGATATGGGCCAAATGCTGCAAATGGGACAGGATCAGTTTAGGATATCTGGTCGGCACAGACAAGTTGGACAGAAGGGTCTGCTTCTGTGCTGTACAGCTCTATGAATCTGTGAGTGATTTACTAGGCCACTAGGAGAACATTTCTGAGTCAACCATCATGTTGATGGTAGGACTGGAGTCAAATTAGGCCAGGTATGGGCATTAAATTTCCTTTCTTAAAAGGATCTTAATAAACCAAACAGATTTTTGCACCAGTGTGACAGTGTCATGGATACTTTTACTGACCCTAGCTTTTATTTTCAAAATCTCAGGCTGCTCGTGGGATTTAAACTGTATTGCTCACGATTATTAGCACAGCTATCAGATTAGATTGATATTTAATAATGAACAAAGTCCACAGTTCATTTTCCTATTAAATTGTTTACTTAAACTTAACTAGATTCAAGACTTAAAAGGCTATTTCCATTTAAACACAGCCTTTCTAAAGCATCTTGCTGCCACATTCTATCAAGACACTTAGTTGCAAGGTTCTTTTTAAAATTCATTCTGTGTTCATACCTTTTGCACTGCTTTCCGTAGAATCTCTTTATACTCTTCTTTGGTGATCTCTTTATTCTGGTAATAGGGTTTTAGTGCTAATTTGGCTTCTTCAACAGCCCTCTCTTGCACATGAAGTTTCTTTATATACTGAAATACAAAGGAACAATTTCAATAAGCATTTCCTTTTTAACTGACTATAAAATTTCAGTGTACTCACTATTTACTGTAGTCTTAAGGGTAACAACACTAAAATTCCTCCTAGCTACATAATTACCTTGAATATTCAGAACAGACCATTCAGCCACTGTTTATGTTCGATACAAGTCTCCTCTGCTGTATTTGCTTCAATAAATACACTAAAAATATCCTTCCATTCCCTTTTCCCTCTTGTATTTTATCCACCTTCGCATTATATGAATCTATGCTACTTGAACCAAGCCATGTGGTACAGATCTATGCTTTCACCACTCTTTGGGTAAACAATACTTTAATGAGTTTGTAGTCGAGTTAGTAACAAACGTACCTCTAGATCACAAAATTTCAGGCTCATGTGCCACTCTACTGTGAGAGCACAAAAATCACACAAACACTACTAAGGAAACACTGCATTTAGAGGTAGATTTTTCACATGAGATGCTATACCAAGATCTTGTCTGCCTTGGGCAGATGTAAAAGATCTCTCAGCATTATTCTGAAGAACAAATTGGAGGGGTTATTCCCCTTGTCTTGTTGAATGTTTATCACTCAATTAACACCACTAAAACAAATTACCTAGTGATTATCATACTGCTGTGTACAACTTGCATAATAACTGACATTTCCTACATTATAAAAGAGTGATAAAGTACTTCAAAAGTACTTTATTGTCTATAAACCACTTACCAATGTCCAGTGGTTATGAAATGTGATATATAAATGCAAGGCTTCCTTTATTTTATCTTGAAAAGTTTTCAAAATATTTGACTTTGCATCCCAACATACTCAGAAATCTGTGTGTTAGACAGTTCGGAACAGCCATTAATTACTGTTCCAAATAGAATGCCAAAGGACTCAAAACATTAAACTGTTTCTCTCTCCACAGATGACTTCAGAACTGCTGAGTTTCTCCAGAACTTTGTTTTTTATTTCAGAACTCCAACATTTGGAGAATTCTGTTTTCAATTAATTGTTAGCATTTATTTAACCTCTTTAAAACACCACAGAGTTTATCCGATGAGTGTCGAACTGATATCAGTTATATCATAATTCTAACAGAGCACTCCAGTCTGTGGAGATGCCTCATATTAAAGATGTCAACACCTTACAGATGGTGCAAAATATATTCAGGGTTGACTGATTTCAATTACTTGGGCAGACTGCCCACAATGGTTATCCTTAGAGTAGGACAGGCTAAAGGAAAATTTATAGAGATGTTCAAAACCATGAATAATGAGAAGCTGTCCAAAAGAAGGGTCACACTCTCTGACTAGAGATTTATGGATTTTAGATGATTGGTGAAACAACCCGAGGCAACGTACGGTAACATTTTGTTATACATTGAATTGCTATAATTTGGACTGCACTGCCTAGGCAGTGGAAGCAGTTTCAAAAGAAATATCCAAAAGGGAACTGGATAAATAATTAGACATTTAAAAATTACACAAGTATGGGAAACAAATAGCAAATGGTTAATCATATAATAATTTGGATAGTTGTTTCAAAGGGCCAACAGATGCACAAGAAGCTAAACGGCTTCCTTTTACACTGTCTTATTCTACGATGTGAAGGCCTCAGTGATGGAATGTAGCATTTATCCAAAAAGACTACAGAATCAACCATCAGCATCTGAATCATTAACAACTGCAGCAAAATGTCAGTCACACATTAAAAAGGAGGCAGTAGCCATCACATACGTCTAAAGAAACTGCAATGATAGATGTGGACAACAAGGCTACTTTGATGGTCAATCATTAGACAATTTGTTGACAATACAGCTGAAGAATCTGAACAGCTACCAAACAGTCTAGTGACTTTATGGCCTATCATTGTAAAAGTAAGCAAACGTCAGTAGGCAAAACATTGATGTGATAGATCTCCCAGGTTAACTTTGAAAGACACCAAATCTGATAGCTGCAACCCCACAAGTGAAACCGATTTTTTAACACTGAGTTACAAACAATTCCAGTAACGCCAAGTACGATTTGTCAAACTTATAAGATTATATTTATCAGGAAAAACTGAACAGGCTGGAGCTTTTTTTCTCCAAAAGAGAAGCTGAGGGATGACCTGATGTGAAGATTTTATGAAAGTTTGGAAGTTATGGAAGCTTAATAGAAAAGACACTTCCACTTGTGGGGGAAAAAGAACTAGAGGCCATAAGAATAAGATCTCTCATAAATCTAATGGGGAATTCGAGAGAAATGTCCTTCCTGAGACTGATTAGAATATGGAATTAGCTACAACAGGAAATGGGCACGAATGCACTTGTGGGGAAATTGACAAAAATGAGGGGAAAAAAGAATAGAAGGATTTGCTTACAGGGTGAGATGAAAAGAGGTGGGAGGAAATTTGCGTGGAGCACTTACCAGCTGGACCTAATAGCTCATTTCTATGTTGTTCATTCAAAGTAACTCTAAGCAAGTTAAACTCAAATCTTTGATACACATTTTCTGTTTATGAAATAGATATGAAACAAATATTAAAGGAAAAACAAAAGAGATCAAAGAAAGAATTCCAGAAATAAATAGGGGGTATTCAGTTTGGGAGTTACTTACCATGAAAATCACACTATATTTACTGGGGTAGAGATGCGCTAATATCCTTAGTCAGTATTGGTTAGATGTTATAAAGTTGTCTACCTCATCAAGAAAGCTGAACTAAGCAAGCTACAAATCCAGCTAATCACTGAATTTGGCCTTCAAGGCAATGACAACAGATCCAGATCAATTTCTCCTAATGCAGCTATGAATGGGAATTTCCTATCAAAGTTATTACCTGTCTGAAGTCACTCATACACCATCTTGAACTATCAATCCACAAAAGAAGCACTGAGAATTACCTTCTAACTCACGGGTTACTAATAACTGACTAAAATTTAAAGTATAAATTTGAGATGATTGTCTAAGACTATACAAAATTTGTAAAGTGTCATGGAACACAAAGAGTCTTACCATCTCAGTGGTTGGAGATTTCAGTGAAGATTAAATCTATGTCACGTGAGTTGGAAGAAACCTGCTTTTTCACTGTATTGACCCACATCACATAGCAGTTGAGAGCAGATGACTGAATCATTGATGGATATGAAAGGTGAAAACCTAGTTATGCATAACGAGGTCTAATTTTATCCACACTATTCCAAAACACATTATTCCATCAGAATAATGCCTGGAAACCGGAGATGGAGTTTTGGTCATTAATGTCATAAACTGCAGTTATAATTAGACTACTTGTCCCTGTGATTAGACAGTTTGATTAAAACCTGAATTGCCAAGGGATGAAATACAGGGTCCAGTTGGGACAATGGCCTTATAAACCTTCAAGGGATAATTAGGCATCAGGTGGAAAAGTCTGTGTCTCGGATAAGTCACTGGGCAAGGAGATAACCAAACCAGTGACTCCACCAATTAAGGTCAATAGTGAGATCAAATAATCATCAAAAGGCCTGGAATAAACTGATCGGAGCATTGGAAGGAGGAGAGACATCTTTATTCTTGACATCAGTGAAACATAGTAGTAGGTCTAAGTAAGGTTTAGAATCGATGCAGAGTTGGTGGGCCAAAGGGCCTGTTTCTATGCTGTACTGAATTGTACTGTACATGCAAGTAAGTTTAAAAGGTGCATGGATTCAAATGCACAAGGCTAATTTTCAGGATTCATGGGGAATATGTCAAAATTGTTTGGGAATGGTAACTGAAATATTGCCGTTAATTTAATCTTAAGATAATAGTTTTTGGTACTTTTTCTTACGCTAAGAGAAGTTGGGGTCAAACGATGTTTCATTAGATTAGGTACTGGTTTTATTGAGTTTAACTAGTCCATGAGAATTCCCTTACAGACAGGTTCTTTGAAAGACTGAAGAATCTTCCAGCACAGGAGGCCATTCTCTGTCTCTGGCAACACTTTGAAACAGCCATTCAACTAGTCCCATAAAGTACTCTTGCCCCACAGCCTTTTTTTCATCCTTCAAATATTTATCCAATTCATTGTTGATTATTAATTAATATCCTCCCATCATCCTTTCAGACATCTTCCAGATCATAACAAATCCGAGTAAAAACTGTTTTCTCATACTGCCTCTCGCTTTTTAACCAATTACCTCAATGTATGTCTTCTGATTACAGACTCTCCCACACTAAAAAGTTGTCTACCTAATTTATGATTTTTTTAACACCTCTACCAAGTCTCCTCTTAACCTTCTCTGCTCGGATTTGATCAATCCCACCTTATCCTGTCTCTCCAAACAAATGAAGGCCTCATCCCTGAAACAACTCTAATAAATTTCATCTGCACCCTTAGCAAAGCCTCAGAATCCCTCCTAAAATGCAATGTCAGAATTGAATATAATCCTTCCGCTGGAACCTAACCATCGTTTTCTAAGGGTTCAACAAAATATTTTTGCTTCTACAATCTATTCCTTTATTAAAAAAACCAAGGATGCCAAACACTTTAAAATAGTTTCTTCAACTTGTTCTGCCACCTTCAAAGAACTGTATATACAACCCTCAAGGTCTTTCTGTTTCTGCACTCCCCTAATATCCAATGCTACTTACGTGAATAAGCATTCTGAGAGGTTGGAAAAGAAACTCCAATTTTGAAAACTACTGTTGGATTATTTCTTACAAAAATGCAATATTAACCTATGACAGCAATGGTGCACTGGAATGTATAGATATCATCAGCATAAAAAAAGGACCACTTCCAAGATAAGGCTGTCATACCACAATGTTCTACAAATTACAAATGAGCAAGAGGTTTCAGGCTCCATCTAGGAGATTCAGATGGATGTATACACAATTACTTTTAACATTCTCTTACAATCTCATTTTGAGCTTTGTCTTCGGAAGATTTGTTATCGGTGTCCAAGTTTCCTTCGGTTTGCACCACTTGTGTTTCAGCAGCCAAATTCGAAATAACAGGAGTAGGAACTGGAGCAGCAGCAGGAGGAGGAATAGGAGCAGGGATAGGTGCAGCAGTTTGGTAAGTGGGCTGTGGGAGTAATGGAGGCACAGCAGTGGAGCCAATCAGCGGGATATTCCCTGGCACAATATATGGAACTGTAGGCTGGCTGACTGGCGCATAGGGAGGTGGATGCAACGGTGGGAAAGGTGGCATGAAAGGTGGTGGCATGTTGACTTGGTTAAATGCCTGCAAGGGTAAAAGAAAAAGACTTAGAAATTCACAACAGTAAAACATTTGTACCAATCAGTGTTTAATTCAAACACACATGCCATAAAGCAATTAATGCCCAAGAACTGTGAGCCATGAATCAATATACACATTTGTCAGACATAAGGTTTTGCAATTAACTCCAAAACTAGATATTTAAACACAATCAAGGCTGTAACTCCCAGAGAACTGAGCAGTGTCTGCACCGTCAGAGGGGCTACGCTGAAGTTGCACAACACTATCAGAAGGTGAATACTTAGGGAGTACCACACTGACAGAGAAGTAGTGGAGAGAGCACTTTGCCATCTGAGAGATGGTGCCACATGCTCAAAGAGAAAGTTTGAGGGAGTGCTATGGCTCCAGAGGGAAAATACTGAAGGAGTACTCTTCAGTGCTGCACTTAAGTGTCAGTTCAAATTAGCTGCTAAAGTCCTGAAGTGGGGTTTGAGCCTTTAATGTTCTGACTCAGGCAAGAGTACTATTAAATAAAGCAAACTAATGCTAGATATTTTACTCTGGTGTATTACAACAAGTAAAGCAATAAAATCATAAATTGATTTGAACTCTTAAGTCTGCTCCAGCATTCAATAAAATCATAGCTGACCTGATACCTGATTGCAGCCTTAATTCCACTGTCATACCTGCCCCTAAAACCCTCAACTTGCACATCAATCAAAAATCTGGCTAACTTAGCCTTGAATATATTCAATGACCCAGCCTCCAGCTCAATGCAGAAGAGAATTCTAAAGCGTAACAATGCTCTGATAGAAAAAAATCCTCACCTTGGAGTTAAATGGGAGACCTCTCATTTTTAAGCCCTGGAATAGTAATTCTAAGCCACTTAGATGGTGTACTTTTTGCACCAGCTTTAACTAGTTTTAGTAGGTTGAAGTTCCATGCAAATTTTTGTGTTTTATTAGTCATCTGAGATTAAAAAGTAAATAAATTCCATTATGCAGTGAATTTTGGGTATTTGGTAGTGAAGAATGCTAAGACTGGTGGCTGTGGTGCAAGAGACTATTATTCAATTTGAGCATCTAAGTATCAGAATCAAACACACACCAACCACTGATGATTATCCAACCACTTTCTAAATGTGTCAAACCTAAAATCAACACAATGCAACGTTGGTGGATAGAATCCAATGCATGCTGTGAACATCACTGTTAATGAGATGTGAGCATCATTGGCAAAGCTAGCATTAATTGTCAAATCATAATTGTTTGTGAATGATACAAGAATTGGTCGCATGGACGACAGCTGGAAACTGAAGGAGGAGATCACCATGCTGGTCAGGCAAAGCTTTGGCAAATGAAATTTAGTCTGGAAAAAAGTGAGATAATGAATGGGGAGGGCTAAAAAGGAAAGGGGTGATATTATGAATAGTAGGATCTTGGATGTATTGAAAACCAGACAGACCTTGATGTGTATATCCACAGATACTTGAAGGTAGCAGGGCAGGCAGATAAGGTGGTTAAAGAAGGCATATAAGATACTTACCTTTATTGGTCAAGGTACAGAATACAACAGCAGGGAGAATATATTTGAATTGTATAATATGCTGGTTAGGACATAACTGTATGAATGCACTGTATGCAGTTTTGATCAGCACACCACCTTATGAGATGTATAAGATTATGAGGGGCATGGACAGGGTGGATAGGAAACAGCTATTCCACTTAGTTGAAGGGTCTATAATTGAGGGGGTATAATTTTAAGATGCAGGGCAGAAGGTTTAGAGTGGATTTGAGGAAAAGTATTAAAGGAAAACTTTACGGGCAGGACCTGCATCTGTGCTCCACTAAAGTAGGTATGGAAATCTTTAAACCTAAGGAAAAAGCAAATACCGAGTGGCAGATCAGGTGGTTACTCAGTTTTGTTTTGTTGCGGCAGATTCGATAGGCCAAAGGGTCTCTCATGTACTGTATGACTCTATATGAAGAACAGCAGAGAATGACTTAATCATTACTCATAAGAAATGAGAGTATGAGAAGCTAGCTAGAAATGTGAAAATGGACAACAAGATTTTCAACAGGCATTTAAAAAGGAAATGACCAAGTCAAGTCAGTGTTACCTTATAGTGAGAATAGGGAGTTAATAGCAAGTAATAAAAGAAATGGCAGACAGAATTTAGGAAAAATGCTTGTCTTCACATTACAGGATACAAAAATAGATTCTGATAACAGTTGTTAAGTCAGGAGGTAGAGAGAGGAATTTAGTGAAATTACATTCATTTGGAAAACAGTATTAAGCAAACTGACAGAGTTATAGGCTTACAAGTGTCCAGATTCAGATGGAGTCCATCCTTAGATATTAAAAGAGGTAGCTAATGACGTAGTCGATAGGTGTTAACTTTCCAAAATTGCCTAGATTTTGAAAAGATCCATTGGACTGGAAAGTAGCAAATATAACTCCTGCATTCAAGAAGGTGGGTGGGGGTGGGAGGTAGAAAGTAAGAAACTATAGGCTAGTTAGCTTGAAGTCTGTTGTGGAAAGCATCTTAGAACCATTTAATAAAGAGGTTAAGGCTGGGCATTTTCAGAAACTTATGCTAATCAGGAAGTCAGAGGAAGAGCAGAAGCCAACTACCAAAGCAATAAGGAGGTGGGGGGGGGGGGGGGGGGGGGGGGGGGGGGGGGAAGGGGGGCGGAGGTGGAAACAGAAGATGAAATGGGAGGGTGAGCTAGCTAACAATATAAAAGAAAAGTGCAATTGTTTTTTTTTTAAGATATTTTAAAAAGTAAGACAGAGATAAGAGTGGACACTGGATAATTGGAAATTGAGCTGGAGTAGTAGTAATGGGGAACAAAGAAATGGCAGAGAAACTGACTAGGTGTTTTGCATTAGACTTTTGCCAGAACTTCAACAGAGTCAGAGGATAAAGGTGAATGCAGTGGCCATCACAATGGAGAAGATGCTGGGGAAGCTGAAAAGCTAAAGGTGAATAAATCACCTTGACTGGACTGGACTGGACTGGACTGAACCCCAGGGTTCTGAAGGAAATAGCTGAGCAAATTGTGAAGGAATTGGTGATTACAGGAGTCAGGGAGGGTCATACGGATTGGAAAAGCTAATGTAACACCCCTGTTTAAGAAGGGAAGGAGGCAGAAGACAAGAAACGTGAGGCCTGTTAGCCTGACCTTGGTTGTTGGTAAGAGTTTAAAGTCCATTATTAAGGATGAGACTGTGGAGTACTTGGAAGTGCATGGCAAAATAGGGTTCAGTCAGCACAGCTTCGTCAAGGGTAGGTCATACCTGACAAATCTGTTAGAATTCTTTAAAGAAGTAACAAACAAGTTAGACAAAGGAGAGCCAGTTGATGTATCTATTTGGATTTCCAGAAAGCCTTTGACAAGATGCCACATTGGAGGCTGCTAAATAAAATAAGAGTTCATGATGTTAAGGGCAAGGCAGTGGTATGGATATAGGATTGGCTAACTGGCAGAAGGCAGAAAGTGAGGATAAAGGGGTTTTTTTCAGGCTGGCAGCAAGTGACTAGTAAAGTTTTCAGAATTCAGCATTGGGACCACAACTATTCATGTTATAGGAAGGAATTCAGGGCAATGTTGCTAAGCTGGCAGATGACACAAAAGATAGCTGAGGGACACAGAGTGTTGAGGAGGCTGGGAGGCTGCAGAAGGACTCGAATAGGCTAGAAGAGTGGGCAAAGAAGTGACAGACTGAATACAGTGTGAGAAAGTGAGAGGTTATACGATTTGGTAAGAATAGAGGCCTAGGCTATTTTCTATTTAGGGGAAGGTTTTGGAATTCTGCAGCACAAAGGGACTTAGGAGTCTTACTTCAGAATCTAAGGTTAACATGCAGGTTCAGTTGGCAGTTAGGAAAACAAATGCAATGTTGTCAGGCAGATTTTGAGTATATGGTGGGAAAACGTGAAGTTCTTTATTTTGGCAGGAAAGATAAGCAGAGTATTACTTGAATGGAGAATTCTGAAGTGGAGTGGGAATCTACATGTTCTAGTGCATGAGTTCACAAGAGATTAATGTGCAAATAATCAAGGCTAATGGGGATGCTATTCTTTATTACAAGAGGAACTGAATATAACTACATTTATGCAGGACATTGGTGAGACCATAATATTGAATACTGTGTGCAGTTTTAGTCTCCTTATTTGAAGTAAAAAATACACGCATTGTAGCGGTTAAAAGGTTTACTGGACTGATACCTGGAATGAGTGGGAAGTCTTATGAGGAAAGATTAAAAGGCAGGGCTTGTTCCCACTGGGATTTAAGGAGTGACTTGATTAAAGTGCACAAGATCCTGAATGATCTGACAAGATGGACGTGGAAAGGAGATTTCCTCTTGTGGATAAACCAAGAACTAGAAACACTGTTTTAAAATTAGCAGTTATCCTTTAAGGGCAGAGATGAGAAGATTTTTTTTTTCTCTCAGAGGGTTGAGAGATTTTGGAACACCTCATCTTTGAAGGCGATGGAAGTGGGGTAACTGAATATTTTTCAGCACAGGAAGATAGGTTTTTGTTAGATGATGGAATCAAATGTTATTTTGGTTTTCGAAATACCAACAAATCAGCCATGATCTTACTGAATGGCAGATTACATTTGTGGGGTTGAATGGCCTTCTTCTGCTCCTATTTGGTATGAAAGTTTACTGTCATTTCAGGCAGTACATTCCAGACCAGAACAACTAACTGTGTAAAAAAAATTTCATTGGCCTTTGGGTTGTTTGCCAATTATCTTAAATTGGAGTCCTTTGGTTGCTGCCATTTATCCAAGGGGAACTCATGCATATCTTCCACGTATAGACTTTCGGTGACAATCCTCAGAAATAACCAAATTACTCATTAGAACAGATTCGAAAAATCATCTCATTGGTATATTTTAAAGCAGACTGACAATAAAATCTCAAAACAACACTCCTTCATTGTAAATGTTACAGAATCAATAATTCTTTTCAAGCCATTGTTTGGAACCAAGAAGCTTGGATGGAGTTATGGCACAGATCAGCTAAGATCTCACTGACTGGCAAAATAAGTTTGAAGGGCTGAATGGCTTCACTGACTCTTACATACATTTTCTCAACCTTACAGAAGGAATTTCTCACAGACTGGGGCAATTTGTCCAGACAGGAGTTTGAAAGTCTGTTTTTACATGAACCCATAACCATAATCACTGCAGAAGCGGAAATATGCCAGGATCCTACACGCAAAACTGAGGGCTAGCACCAACCTGAGGCGGAAACAGACCAGGGAAAATTGGTGGAGGGATCATAAAATTTGCTGCTGGAGGCTGGAACATCGGCACCTGATTTGGTGGTTGACTTGTTTCTGGAGCTTTCCACATGCTTTCTTTATTAAATCTGTGCACCCTGTAGGAGAACGGTGTCCCTGTATACAAACACAGAAGACATTTTAAATCAAAGCTTTTAATCTTGCTACATCTCAAATGAATATCATCTTCACAATGCTTAATGTATTAATGTAATACAGGTTCAAATAGCCACAGTGCAATCTTAACCTTTTACAATTGCCCAAGAATTCTGAAGCTAGCATATTTTAACATCTTCAGCACGTGTTCATGCTGAGTAATAACCTCTTAACACGTTCAGGCCCTGAATGTTTCCAATGTCGACAATGGCTGGATACACAGAAAAATAAAATTCAACAACTGTCCAGGAGATGTGGCAGATGCTTTCAAACCATTTAGTGCTTCCAAAAGTACGGTCCTTCTCTTAATCTCACCAACTAACACAAGTGACTTCTGAGGAAGGGTTTAGGCCCGAAATGTCAGCTTTCCTGCTCCTCTGATGTTGCTTGGCCTGCTGTGTTCATCCAGCTCTACACCTTGTTATCTCTATCGAATCCATCTGCTCCTCTTAACATCCTACAAGCTTCCGTAAAATTAGTGTCTAATTTCTAGAACTTTGGAATTGTGGAAGCACCATCTAAACCTGATACACTTCTATCTGTAAGAGACAGTTCCACCACTGAAGATTCAGTGGTATCTGTAGAAAACCCAGAAGAATCAGCAGACATGAGTACAGTTGAGGAACAACAAAACTCCAGCACGCTTGTTAATGAAGCAGTAACTTTGTTTAAAAACAAACACTTCGACAGTGCAACAGGTACCTGCTCCCAGAAGAATGAAGCAAATCATGAGACTATGTCGGCTAGCTCTGGTTCAAACAGTTTAAATGAGCAAGAGGAAGCAGAGTGATGTGACTGAAATGACTCCTTGGAGAGGAAGCCAGAATCGATGAAACCAGACTGCAATATACACAGACAGCAGTATATACCATATACTAAATGCACTATGGATTGTTGATCAGTATCTAATTAATTGGAGTTACGAACTAGTTGCATATGTTTACTGAGACAGGTGAGTCTCTTCCATCTCCATTCACAAATTCTAAATACAAGGAAATTCCACTGTTAGAATCAACAGTGTCTGTGAAAGAGAAGACCGCAAATGAAACACGTTCCCAAAGCAGGCCTGGCAGCATCTGTGATGAGAGAAGGGGTTTGTGACTTTTCATCAAAATTGATGGATGATGCCCATATACCCAAACACACTTTATATGGTGAATTGGCCACTGGATCCATGCCTCCATTACAAAGATGGCTGTAGATGAGATATGAAGGTAGTGGAAATCAATAAACTAGGGGACATCCATCAACAGCCAAGACATACAGCAATAACCTGAAATCAGTAACTCAAAACAAAACTATTGAATATCCAGCTGGCACTAGCCTAGGACAGGCAGAGGAACCAGATGGTGTAGATCAGAAAGCAAGAGCGAATTGAATAAAATATTCAATTGAGCAGAATAGTGGGTATTGAACCTTTATTGTTAAGAAGGGTAAAATACCTCACGTGATCAAAAAAAGAGTGAACCATTCAAGTTTGTGAATGGAGATGGAAGAGACTCACCTGTCTCAGTTCTGAGGAAGGGTCACCAGACCCAAAACGTTAACTCTGTTTTTTCCTTCACAGATGCTGCCAGACCTGCTAAACTTTTCCAGCAACTTTGTTTTTGTTCCAATTAATTAGATACTGATCAACAATCCAAGATGCATTTTGTATATGGTACATACCGCTGTCACTGTGCATTGTGGTGTAGGAACTGAATACTTAAAGTGGTGGATTGAGTGTCAATCCAGTAAGCCACTTCATCTTGGATGGTGCCAAGCCTCTTCACAGTGTTGCTGGTGCTGCACTCATTCAGGCAAGTGGAGAGTTTTTAATCATATTCCTGAAATGCGGCTTATAGACAGACAGGTTTTAGGGAGTCAGAGGTGAGTTCCAAGGTTTTGGAGTAGATTTGTAGCTCGGGTTATGGGTGTTGAGGTTGGTTGGCTCACTGAGCTGGTTTGTTGTTCCGCAGATGTTTTGTTACCCTGCTGGGTAACATCCTCAGTGCAGCCTCCGATGAAGTGTCGGTGTGTTTTCCTGCCTGGTTTTTAAACTCTGGAGTCCGTTGAGCTGGATTGCCTCACTTCCGGTTTTCCTTCGTAGTGGAGTGTATATGGGTTGAGTTCTATGTGTTTATTGATGGCTTTCTTCGTCGAGTGCCAGGCTTCTCGGAATTCCCATGCCTGTCTCTGCTCAGCTTGTCCCAGACGAATTGGTGGTTCTCCTTGTCCATGTGGATTGAGATGACTGAGTATTGGTCGTGTCTTTTTGTAGCCAGTTAGTTCCGATGTATTCCTGATGTAGGGTAGGATGATGAGTGTGTCGGGGCGTGTAGTATCTTCCTGATGTTGTTCGTGTAGGCATCTTCTGACCCAGTTTTTTGGATATCCATTATCCTTGAAAACCTGGAAGAGGTATTCTTCTTCCTCTTGGCATAGTTCTGTGTTGCTGCAGTGTGTTGTTGCCCTTTTAAGTAGTGTTCGCACGCAGCTTCGTTTGTGTGTGTTGGGATGGTTACTGTTGAAGTTCAGTACCTGGTCCGTGTGTGTGGCTTTTCGGTGTACTTTCCTTTGGAGTTCCCCATTTGCCTTGCGCTCTACCATGACATCCAGGAATGGGAGCTGTTTGTTCTTCTCCTCCTCTCTGGTGAATTTTATTCCGGTGGGAGTGTTGTTTATAACTTTGTGTGTCTCCTCTAGTTTGGCCTGTTTAATGATGACAAAGGTGTTGTCCATGTAGCGTATCCATGGTTTTGGCTGGATTAGCAGAAGGGCCGTCCTTTCTAGTCTTTGCTTCACTGCCTCTACTATGAGTCCAGAGACAGGTGATCCCATGGGTGTCCCGTTGATTTGTTCGTATGTTTGGCCGTTGAAAGTGAAGTGGGTGGTGAGGCATAGGTCCAGTAGTTTGAGCATGCTGTCTGTGGAGATGGTTTCACTGGGGTCTTGCTCCAGTAGTGCTGTCATTGTTTCCCTTGCTAGTGGTATGTCTATTGATGTAAATAGGGCAGTGACATCAAACGATATCATGGTTTCCTCGTCGTCTATCCTTAGGTCTTTGATGGAGTTGAGGAATTCTTGGGCTGAGTGGATTGAGTGGGGTGACTTGTTGACTAGGTGCCTGAGTCTCCTTTGTAGTTCCTTGGCTAATCTGTGTGACGGAGTGCCTGGTAGGGAGACTATGGGCCTAAGGGGTACTTCCGGCTTGTGCACTTTCGGGAGGCCGTAGAATCGGGGTGTGTTGGTTCCTTCGGGTTTCATTCTTAAGAAGTCTGCTTTGTTGATCTGTCCTGTCTAAGTCTTTTTAGCGTATAGAAGATTTTGTTGCCTAGTTGCGGTGTCGGGTCAGTTTGTACTGGCCGGTATGTGTTTTCGTCGGCGAGCAGTGCCTGTGCTTTGGAAATGTAGTCCCTTTTATTCAGTATCACTGTCATGCGCCCTTTGTCTGCGGGTAAGTGAGGCGAGTTATTTGGTGCAGAATTCCCAGCTTCTGACCTGCGCTTCTAGCTTCAACATTCATGTGACTGTCCAGTTAAGATTTCAGCATTGGCAACGCCATTGAATGTCATGAGGAGATGCTCATTGCCTGACAGATGCATAGTGTAAATGTCATTTGCCACTTATCAACCCAAGCCTGAATATTATCCAAGTCTTGGTGCACGAGAGCACATATGACTTCAGGTTCTGAGGAGTCATGAATGGTAATAAATAGTCAATCATCTCCACTTCTGACGTAATGATGCAGGGTAAGTTACTACCGAAGCAGCTGAAGATAACTGGACCTAGGGCACTTCCCTGAGCAACTCCTGCAAAATGCACTGGGCTGTGATGATTTAACTCCAACAAGAACAACCATCTTCCACTTTGCTAGGTATGATTCTCCTTGATGCCACATTCAATCAAATACTGTCTTGCTGTCAAGGGAATTCACTCTCTCACCTCAGTCTTTGTCCATGTACTCGTTGGCTCTTTGAAAGTATTATCCAATTCATTTCAATCCCAGGTTGTTTCCTCATAGCCCTACAAGCATTTCTTCTTTAAGTATTCAACCAACTTTCTTCAGGCCACACATTCAAGATTATTGGAGTTTTATTTACTCTCCCTTCCCATCCCACAAATACCTTAAATCTGTATCCACAACACAGCCTGTGGCTGTGCAGTGAGCGGCAGGCTGCAACTTCAGGACAATCTGCACTTGGAAATTGCAGACATCCAAAAGATGTGACCATGTTCAGAGAGGTAATGATGCTGAACACTTGACATTCCAAAACTTTCTCAAATTCTGGGGCACTGTTTCTAAATTGAATGATAATAACATCATCGTGGCAAACTACTTTCAGCAACAAATTGGCAAAAATCATTGAAAACGTTTTATCTAACTTAATGCAGTATTAGTGAAAAATACCTCACAGTAAACACTGAAATCCTTCTAAATAATGCATTTTCAGTTATCAGAGTTGTGTTAACAATAAACGTTATAATGTTTGATTAGATCTTGCCCCACAGTGAAATATGTCAAAAAAGGAGACAATCTGTAATTTGTCTGCAATCAGAATTCAAAGGAAATAGTACAATTAAAAATAATTACACTTACTTGCAGGCCTCCCAGAGGATGCCTCATCCTTCTCCTCTGTCTCCAGGTTCCAAGTAACTCTCTTGACAAGGGGTTTAGTTTTCACTCCAGTGCTTTGGGAACTAGTTTCACTTGCGGTCTTCGCTTTTACAGACTCTGTTGATTCCAACAGTGGAATTTCCTTGTAGTCCTTATTGCTCTCTGTTTTCATTGATTCTGGCTTTGTCTCCAAGGAGTCATTTTCAATCACATCACTCTGTGCTTCCTCTTGCTTAGTTAAACTGTTTGAACCAGAGCTAGCCGACATAGTCTCATGATTTGCTTCATTCTTCTGGGAGCAGGTACCTGTTGCACTGTCGAAGTGTTCGTTTTTAAACAAAGTTACTGCTTCATTAACAAGTGTGCTGGAGTTTTGTTGTTGCTCAACTGTACTCATGTCTGCTGATTCTTCTGGGTTTTCTACAGATACCACTGAATCTGCAGTGGTGGAATTCTCTGTTACAGATAGAAGTGTATCAGGTTTAGCCGGTGAATGATTTTGAGATGGTTCAGCTTCAGGTCTCAAGGCTGTTTCTTCATTTACTGACAAGAGTGGAATCTCCTCCTGTTTGCCAAGGCATATTAAGGGAATAGAAACCTCATCTGTAACAGCAGACACTTGGTAACAAGGACTTTTAACTTGTAGAAACTCAGGTACAATATTGGAACTTTTCATTACTGTATCAGCCTGGCTTGTGCAAGAGCTAATGCTTTCCCAAACGTGGTCAACTCCAACGGAAACATCAGCAATAGTTTCTTCTAAGCTCTCACTTTTACAGCTGGAGTCCTTGTTTTGATCAAGTAGTTCTTTGTGTTCTTCTTCTTCCTGTGTACTGTCAATGTATGGTGCTGGTTCCTCTTTAATGGCTACTGAACAGGATGAGCTCTGAATAGCTGGTATAAAGTTACTTCCCTGAAAATTTTGAGACTCACAAGAAATAAGCAATTTATTTACTGAAGCTTCCCTCTCCAAAGGCTCATTATCTCTGCAAGTTGAAATTTTCTTTTGCACTTGATCCTTCTCACCAAATTTTACTTTATCTTGAAAGAAAGTTTGTTTTCTATCTACTTCTGGGAATTGGCATTTTGATTGCGAGCACCTATCTCTTGATCTTGATCTACTCTGATCTTTAGACCTGGAACGGGTTCTTGATCGAGGTCTTGGCTTTCTCCTTTCCCTAGATCTGGATCGAGTCTTCGATCTTTTCTTTTCCCTAGACCTGGCTGATTTTCTCTTCTCTCTGGAACTTGATCTTGTCCGTGATCTTCTCTTGTCTCGAGAGCTGGACCTAGACCATGACCTCCTTTCTCTAGAACTTGACCTAGACCAGGACCTTACCTTCTCCCTAGATCTAGGCCATGCTTTTTTCTTATCTCTGGACCTTGACCATGATCTTGAGCGCCTTCTCTCCCTGGACCAAGAGGTTGACCGTCTGCTTCGTCTATCATACTGTTCTCGTCGGTACAGCTTCCTCTTTCCTTTCTCACTGCTGCTCCAAGAGTGCCTGGAGAAGCCTTTGTGATCCCTTGATCCTGGTATTCTCCTTCTTCGCTTGTGACTGTCTGTAGATGTCCCAGAGGAGGAACTACCTGACCTCCTCTCTCGAGATCTTGATCTGGAACGTCTTCCTCTTTTTTCTTTGCTCCTATCTTGTTTGGGCTTTTGCCTTTTAAACTTCTCGGAGCTGCTGGAGCGAGACCTTGACCGAGATTTTGATCTCCGTCGTTCCCTTGAGTGGGACCTTAACTTCTTCCGTTCCTTTGACCTTGACCTTGACCTGTAGCCTTTGTGTTCTTCAGAGACTGAGCTCTTACATTTGTGTTGGCTGTGGGAACGCGATCTTGATCGTGATCTTGAGTGAGCCTTTGATTTGGAGTGGGCTTTTTTATTCACTGTTTTTCTTAGCTCATTTTCTGAAGAAGTATCTGCATCAGTTCGCACACAAGTGGGAACAATTTTGGTGACAACTTGTAAAGTACCCTCTTCAGAGCCTACACAAGAATTAATGCCATCACTGTCTGTATTTATTGTCTGTTGTTCAGACTGTTTGTCATTAGATGTTGAAAAGTTGCAATATGCTTGTTTGGTGCGTTCACTGCCCCACTTTCTCATGTCAGATTCTACATACAATTTTATATCTTTGTCCTCAATATTAGCCTGAGATTCACTAATACCTTCTTCTCCAGAGGTCAAAGAAGGTGCAGTAAAAGATTTACAGCCATCGGGATTGTCAGTTGGTTTCTCTGATGTTAGACCTTCAGTTTTGATTTTATAAGGCTCCGTTTGCTGTGTGCAAGATAGCTGTGTAGTATCAACATTAAAATAAAGGCTTAATGTATTAGTTGTGTGTTCATTTCCTTCAGAAATATCATTACCAGGGCTGGGCACTGGGGATTTGCCTCCAGATCTTGACTCACACCTATCAGGAGTAGAATTTGATGAAGATGGATCAGAACCAGTGGGTTCAAATGGATCATATATCTCATCTATCTCTTTTTTTATGTTGCGTTTCAATCGTGAAGTATTTTTGCCGCTTTTGCTACAATGCTGAACTTCATCATCTGTGGGTTCAAATGGGTCATAGGCATCCAACTTTGGCAGACTAGTCAAGTGACCAGTACTACTTGTCACTTTTGTACAACCCTGACCAGATGAGCTGGAAACCAAGTCCTGAGCTTGGTGTTTTTCTTGGAAAGTACTTGAGCAGCCAGTCGAACCTGTGATGCTGGAAGATTGATGCCTTTGCTGGACAGGTCTTTCAATATCCTTTTCACTATTTCCCAAATCCATTGGCTTTGTAGCCTGGCTATTCTGGTCATTACCTGCAAGTCTGCTGATACAGGCTCGAGGTATTCCATTGCTTTGCTTGTTACCAGTTTGAAAGCTTGAAGTACCAGTTTGGTTCTTGATCTTTGGTATCCTAGGAAATTCTGATATATCAAGCCTCCTAACAGGTGGTTTCGGTGGAACTCTGTTCAGAGAGCCCATATTGTTTTTGAAGAGCAAATTGGAGGCGCTATTCAACCATTTAAAAGGTGTGAAGCCACTGGTACTCTTTTGACCGTCCCCAACACTTTTATTAAATGCTCCTGTCCTTTGTGTATTGAGCAAAGTAACCGATTCACCGGGCACAGGACCAACTGATATTTCAGGCATTGGAGTAAACGTTCCCGAAAAGGCAGGTCTTAGATTGCTGGATGCCATTTGTGGCCTTGGCTTGGATGCTAAACCAGATGTAGATGGCAACGTACCCAAGACATGTTTTGCAGTATTAGTTACAAGACCAGCAGTTTCCTGATTCTCTTTCAAGGCGCTTACAGAGATCCCTGAGATGCAAGCACTTGTTGATGAACATCTATTCGATGCCTCACCAGTTTTGTTGTTACTTGATGTTGATTTTACAGGTTGCCCTAATGTAAGAGCAGAAAGGAAATTTTACAATTAATACTTTACACAACACACATTTATAAACTAACTTCTGGGCAATACATTTTAAGAAGAAAATGTCAAGACATTGGGTGGGGCATAGCAGTTCAACAGGATAACACAACAGGTTTAAGGAACTTCAGTTACATGGAGAGATTGGAAAAACTGGGGTTCTTCTCCTCATAGCAGCATACTCAAAAGGAGATTTAACTGAGGTGTCCAAGATAATGAGGGGTTATGACAGAACAAGCAAGGAGACTGGGAATGTAGGCTAATGTGGACAGTTCTGATCCATCTCAAAACTGATAGAGAAAGCAAGCTCTAACTTATCAAGACATAGTAAGACTGCCAATGCTGGAGTCAGAGATTACGCAGTGTGGAGCTGGATGAACCCAGCAGGCCAGGCAGCACCAGAGGAGCAGGAAAGTTGACATTTTGGGTCGGGACCCTTCTTCTATGGACTATAAAGGTCATGAAAGCAAATGCATTGACCAGAATTCTTCCACTATAAATAGGAATTAGTCTAAAAATGACCAAATGCTGTATTTTGGATAATACCTCCATCTTTAGGCTTTAGGCTTCCATCCCTATTGATGACAACATCAGAACTGTCCATCAGTAAGACATTCTGTCCTGCTAGGATACTTCCCAACACATCGGGTACGGAAAGAGTTTCTGGCACTCCCTCCTGGGCAACAACTGGAGGTCTTCCATTCCTGTCACAAAGAAAAGATTTAATCTCTATTTAAACATTCTCTGCCATTGAAGTGAGTCATTTCCAGCCAATTGATTGTAAGACCTACAGCAGAAAGTAGACTGAATAAAAACCAAAAGAATTGCAGAAGCTGTAAATCAGAAACGAAGTTCCTGGTAAAGCTCAGCAGTATGGCAGCACTGGTGAAGAAAAGTCAGTGTTAACGTTTTAACGATCCTTCCTCAGAATTGATGGTAGCTAGGAAAATGTCAGTTTATGTGCAGAAGGTAGGGTGATGGGGGAGGAGGAGGGGTGGGTAAGGAGTAAATGGTAGGTGGGGATAGAGTGCAAAGAGAGAGAAGACAGTTGGACAGACACAGGAGTGGTTAAAGATTTGGCTAGGAGAGTGAATAGCTGTTAATGGAGACTGTTAGTAGCTAATAATAGGTAGTGTGGCGAACTATGTGATAACAAGGCCTAGTGTGTAGGGTTGGGGGTTAAGGCATGGATGAGTTCAGGCCCTAAAATTATTGAACTCGATATTGAGTCCGGAGGGCTGCAGGGTCCCCACGTGGAAAATGAGGTGCTGTTCTTCCAGCTTGCGCTGAGCTTCACTGGAACACTGCAGCATGCCTGAGACAGAGATGTTGGTCAGGGAACAGAGTGGTGTGTTAAAGTCGCAGGAAGCTCAGAGTCTTCTTCATGGGCAGAATGTAGATGTTCTGCAAAGCGGTCACCCAATCTATACTTTGTTTCCCCAGTATAGAAGAGACCACATTGTGAGCAGCGAATGCAGTAGACTAGATTGTGAGAAGTGCAGGTAAAGTGCTGCTTCACCTGGAAGGTGTGTCTGGGCCCTTGGATACTGAAGATGGAGGAGGTAAACGGGTAGTTGTTATGGCTTCAGCGTTTGCAGGGGAGGGTGCCGAGGTGGGGTGTTGGGACTAAAGGAAAACTGGATCAGGATATCCTGATGCGAACGATCCCTGCAGAAGACGGATGGGGGGGGGGGGGGAATATGTGTCTAGTGGTGGCATCTCGCTTAAGGTGGTGGAAATGGCGGCCGATGATCTTCTGGATGTGGATGCTCATGGGATGGTAGGTAAGCACAAGGGGAACCCTATTACTGTTGTGGGACGGAAGAGAGGGGGTGAGGATGGAATTGTGGGAGATGGGTCATACCCGGTTGACAGCATTGTCGACAACTGTTCTGGGGAATCCTCAGTTGAGGAAGAAGGTGCACATTTCAAAGCTCCCTTGTCAAAGTTGGCCTCGTTAGAACATATGCGACAGAGACGGACGAACTGGGAGAACAGGATGGAGTCTTTATAGGAAGCAGAGTCCAGATAACTGTGGGAGTCGGTGGATTTATAGCGGATATACCACTGTAGTGGATAAACCCACCGGCTGCGAATCCATTGTCGATTGTCGGAAAAACCCATATGAGTCGCTAATGTCCTTTAGGGAACTAAACTGCCATCCTTACCTGGTCTAGCCTACATGTGACTCCAGACCCACAGCAATGTGGTTGACTCTGAACTGCCCTCTGGGCAATTAAGGATGGGCAATAAATGCTGCCAAGCCAGCGATGTCCCTTATCCCCATGAATGAATAAAAAATAAAGGGAGCTTTGAAATGTCCACCTTCTTCCTCAACTGAGGACTCCCCAGCAGCGTTCTTGACAGGGCCCTCAACGGGGTCCAACCCATCTCCCGTACTTCCATCCTCAACCCCTCTCTTCCCTCCCGAAACAGCGATAGGGTTCCCCCTGTCCTTACCTATCATCCCATGAGCAGTCACACTCAAAAGATCATCAGCCGCCATTTCCACCACCTCCAGCGAGATGTCACCACTAGCCACATATTCCCCTCCCCTCTCTTGTCCGCCTTCCACAAGGACCGTTCCCTCCAGGACACCTGGTCCACTCTTCCTTCATTCCCAACAGCCCGCCCCACCCACTATATCCCCCCCCAACCCACCCCCTCCCCCCGGCACCTGCCCCTGCAACTGCCGAAGGTGTAACAACCGCTCATTTACCTCCTCCCTCCTCAGCATCCAAAGGCCCAAATATACCTTCCAGGTGAAAGAGTACTTTACTTGTGCTTCCCACAATCTAGTCTACTGCATTCGCTGCTCACAATGTGGTCTCCTCTCCACTGGGGAAACGAAGCGTAGACTGGGTGACCACTCCGCAGAACATCTATGTTCTGCCCGCAATAAAGACCCTGAGCTTTCAGGTGCCTGCCACTTCAACACACCACCCTGTTTCCTGGTCAACATCTCTGTCTCAGGCTTGCTGCAGTGTTCCAGTGAAGCTCAGTGCAAGCTGAAAGAACAAAACCTCATTTTCCGCTTGGGGACCCTGAGAAGCTGCCAGGCCTGCTGAGCTTTACCAGCAATTTCTGTTTTCGCGAGTAGAAAGTAGACATTGTACTGATCAGAGCCTTCAAGTCGTTGGAGAATTCATAGGACAGTGCACATGTTCTAGAAGAACCCAGGACTGCAAAGTTACTCTCCACATACACAGATAGTGAAAAGTGGAAATAATTTTAACAGGGAACTCTTTTCCCAATAACTTTAACCATGCATAAACTGCCAAAATGACCAAGGTGCTAGGGTTTGAACATGACTATAATGATTGAGTTCAATGGGTCCCAGAGCTCAGCAGTTTACACCTACAGGCCACAATATGAATCCACACAATACACCATAAACCTATTAGATCACCATGGATTGA